AATTCCAATAATCCAGACGAGTGGTAATGAAGGCATGGATCAGTCCTTCAAAGTCCTTAAAACAAAAATAAGATTTGATTTTTGCTCAAATCCATAGGTGATAAAACATGTGAAGGATGCAAACTGAAAACACACAAAACACATAAAAACAGAAAAATGCCGCACCTCCATGTTGTGGAGCAAGTTTGCATCTTTTCATATTAGCAGCTGATTTTCCCGTTTTGCTTCTTTTCTATGGTTGCAGTATTTTTGGTTTGCATTTGTCTTGTTAATTGTAGGCATTTGCTCCCATGTTCTGTGATTGCAACCTTTTTTTGTTTGTAGCGTTTTAATGTTGCATTAATGTTGTGGAGTTTGCATCACTCATGTGTTTGCAGACTCCAAATGCCTGTGTTAGGTAATAAATGTGGATCTGGATCTGGTCTGCTCGACACCACACAACCAGAACCAAAAATGGAGAAACAAGATTCAGATTTTATGCTCTTCTCATCTGGAAAAAACTTCCAGAAAACTGCAAAGCTGCTGAAACATGTTTCATGCTTGTTTCACAAATGGTGAGTCATGTTTTTCTGTTGTAAAGCACTTTGAACTGCCTTGTTGCTGAAATGTGTCATACTAATAAAGTTAACTTTACTTGAAAGTGACTTGTTTTTTCAGTGTTTCTGTGTTTGGGGCGATTTCTGCATAGTAGCTATTTAATTATGCTTTTCATATTTTTTTTCACTAGAGAATTCAAGGAAATTTTCTTTCTTCTAACATCTAAAAATAGAAATCGAACTGCTGTGTCTTGGTTTAATCATAGAACCAGCATTTTTTATATTTAACTTTTGGAAAAAGGCTTAACCAGCTTAGGGTTTATCTTTCAAATAGTGTGGTTGTTGGTAGGAAATAGTGTTAAGTTTATTACCAGTGTCTTTGAACATTATTACTATTGTCATTTTTTTAAAGTAAATGGTTTGTCTCCATTCTGCGAAAGCCTTCGAATTCATAACTCTTGTTTTCTGCTCTCTGGCCCTGAACAATCATATTATTGTTTCTCTTTAGTTTCTTAGTCTTCTGATACATTTTTGTGCAATTACTAATTGAAATAAAAATACAGAGTATAGACATTGTACAGAATCACAAACACTTTTTTTTATCCACCAATATGTCAAATTGGTGACCTCTTTTGAAAAACCTCTGCAGGTTAAAATGTGGCTGATCTTTCAGCCATTTTGTAACATGAGGCTCCATTATGGTGGAAAATAAGCGATTGTGACCAAACTGTGACTAAACTGCTGAATCGATCTGCTCTTGAATGGTGTTTTGATCCCTCTCTTTATTAATGGCAGTGCTCTCACTCCCCTGGATGAGCAGCAAACCCGACACATGGATCGCATCAGGATGCATTGCTGTGGGAAAGACACAGGAGTCATGGTAGCGCTAACATTTTCCTCTCCCGGCAAATTATTTTCCACATGTCTCGAACAATCAGAGAATTCAGCAAACAAAACACCTTTGCAGTAGCATTTACTCACATTCCTGTGGAAGTTCAGTCTGTCCTCGGCTATTTCTGAATGTGTTTTGGTTCTGTCATAAACTTTCTAACATTTGTCAACCTGATGGAGTGAAAGATGGCGAACAGAACCCCGGTTCTACCAGGAGTCACATCAAATAGTTTATAACGTGGCATTTTTGATCTGCAGAGCACTGGGGGAAAATATGCCATCGAACCGGAGGAGAAGTGTATCCGTGTCATAAGATCATCTCTTGGTCCAGGAATTTCCTTTCATCTGGAGCCAATATGTTCTCAGTTGGGTTGATTTTCTATCATTTTTGGTACCAGAGGCACGACAGCGAGGCAGATTTACAGCCTCAGATGTGCAAAATAAGTGCATTTTGGGATCAAGTGGGAATCTGCTCTGACATAAGCGCCCAAATGAGTCTGTTTTCTTCATCTTCATAAGTGTAACTCTTCATTGTTCATCTAAGGTCCAAAATGCTGAATGGCTTTGGTGAGTTTTCTGTGACTCACAATTAAAATAAAAATAAATCTGCAATTGTGAAGAAAAGAAAATGCAATATAATTTCGTCTAAGTGACTTGAAAGCATGGACTCCATCAAAACCCAAGCCTGGCCAAGGCATGTGCAAGTTAAGCGGCTCTGCTCAGGCTGTCCTCACCACCAGGGGGCCCCAAAGAGCAACTGGCCCGTGTGAGAAAAAGAATTGTTGGAGAAGTAGAAGATCTCAAACTTGTGAACTGGTTTACTGTAAATTTAGTATCAAACTGTAAATTTAGCATTGGCTATGAATTCAACATTTAGATTGAATTCATAGCCAATGCTAAATTGGCTATGAATTCAAGATATTCAAGATGTAAGCTAACAGTTAGCGCAATGGACACTGGTTTAAACAAAGGAAAGTGAAGGTGGGTACATTTTTATTTTTTAACTGTTTAAATGGTGGAAATTTATTCTTGAATCAACCCGGCTCTGAGAACAATGTAACCTAATGGTTAAGCTAACAGCTAAACCGTTAGCTTAACCATTAGCTTTGGATACATAACATCCTTGCCTTCATCGTGACCGTGAACTAAAATGACATCTCACTACAGATTTCAATATTACTTTGAGAATAAGTATATTAAAGTAACATCCTCCTTTAGACTTTTAGGAGCTAAACTGGTAAGAAAAGCTTGTTTTCTTCTCTATTCATTGCCTTAATGGTGTTATAATTACACCGTATCACATTCCACCACCATGTGATTTGAGATCAGCTTCCTCTCAAATCTTTTGTTTACACTTCCACACCACCAATGCACACTGGGAGCTCGCTTCTGCTCTCTCGCCAGTGACCCCTGACAAAACTGAGCAGGTAAAGCCTGAACATTCAAATTAAGACTGACAAGCAGAACAAATCGCTTCGGAAATGAAAGAAATATTACCAACAGATGTTTATTTAATGGGTGTAAGACCCTTTTTTTTATGTTCCACAGGTGGCTCTTATGAAAAGTGAACCAAGAATGAACCTTGAAACATGAGTTTGACAAGGAACTGCTCGACAGGAGACAGATGGGATATATGAGCTTTCTACACGATGACGAACTGCAAACATCTCGTCAATCTTTGCATCCATTCAGTGGTTCAACTGGATGGACAGATGGATGGATGTCCGTCCATCCATCCATCCCTGGGTCCATCCAACCGTCCATCTGTCCATCCATCTTTATACGTTTACACTAACATACATAATTTTCTTTGTGTAATTTTTTTGTAGCTTTGTGTTGTGAAAAATTTTGACTTGAAAGTTCAACTTTTTAACATTTCTTTATAGTTAAAAAAAACGTGTTTGATTTTTTTTTTTGCTTCCTCTCTGCCTTAATTAGCTTTTTCTTTCATTTGTAAAAATACCAGAATGGGCCAAATGTTTACATTTCTATCTGATCACACCTTTTTCACAAATTAAATCAAATATTATAATTATACATTCACTCTGTACTTGAGTATAAATACTTTCTTTCTTTAATAAATGTTCAATATTTTCTGCAACACCAAGTCCAGGGCTCGTGTTGCTGCGACTGGTGAAGTTTCATTGAACTGCTGATCTTTACATGTTTCTGTGGGTTTTTTTTTTCTTTAAATTAGGACAGAATATGTTTACAAAACTCTGCAATATAAGAAACAAAACAATAGAAAACCAAATCAAAGCTGAATCTTTTTTTAGAGTAATTCTTCTCTTACTTGTGACTCTGCAGAGGAACGGACCAACCAAACCTCAGGTGACTAAAGGTCAAAGGACGGGGTGAGAGCTGCAACAGACGTGCCGCAGCACTCCTCTGCCTGCAGGCTGCAGTTCAGATCACTCTGAGCTGCTGCAGTCGGTCTTTAACGTGAATCTATCAAAGCTGCAGGCAGAAGCCATAATTGAAGCGCCGTCGTGCCAGAAACAAGATTTTTCTTGCTTGGGTGTAGCTGTTGGCTATCAAAGCAAATGCCAAAGACCTGTTATCACAAATATATATAATCTGTTACTGAGTCATGCGAATGTGAAACTCTCTCTGCATCAACGCTTCCTATGTACAAGTAAAGGCACATTTCCACAAGTAAACATGTCAAATCAGTGCTTGAAGCTTTAGAGGAAACACAAATAGTGATTTCAAAAACTGTAATAATGTTCTCTATTTAGATTTTAATTAATATTTTTGTTTTACAGCAAGTTTAATCTGCCTGGATGGAGTCAGAGTCCAGACAATAAATCTGTGGGAGAAGAAAAAGATTAGGAAGTAAAACCATTAAAACACAAGAAGAATCTGGTTTGATTGGTGAGATGCCAACAAATATTTAGCCAAAGATTATTGATAAAAGTGAACTGGTCTTCACATTAAGTTTTTCTTTTAAAAAGTACAAAACATTTTTTGTAATTCTTTTAAATTGACTTTAAGTTAGTTTTTGGTATTTTGTGAGTTTCTTGGTTGAATATAAATTATGTAAAATCTTAATCTGCCTGGAATATTTTGGGGATTTTTAATAAACATTGAGGTTAAAAGTCCTTGACGTAACCTATTTTTAAAATGATTTATTAAGGAAAATAAATGATTCAGACTAAACTGAACTTATGTGAGAATATTTGCTAAAAAACAACAACAAAATAAACCACTTATTTTATTTTACGCCATAAATCCCAATAAAATTCACTTGAGTTGGTTGTAACAGAAAATAAATATAAAAATACTTGGATATCAGGAGCAAATGTATGACATTTGTTTCAACAATAGAAAAATCAAAAGTCACATTTGGAGAACCCCAAGGTCAAATCCTGGGGTCCCATTTATTTAATTAATATCAGTTCTGTCAAGTTATCGCAATAAATATGAGCTTGGATTAAATATTTGAATATTTTCTTTTCCAGGTGGACACTGACGGGTCGAACGTGAAAGAGGGGCGCTAGGACCATGAGGAGGGTCTGGGTCAGGGTAAACCCGCCTGTGTTCAGAGCGGATCCTGCAGACGCGCATTAGTCACTGAACCGCACAGACTGCAGAGCAGCTCCGCACATTCACTGCGCACCTGGCGCTGCATTTGCGCTCAGAATAAAGAAAAGGAGAGAGTAGGAATACAAGAGAGGAAGAGGACAAACTTACCTGCGGATATAATGAGGGAACCCTGGAGAAATGAACCTGATGGAGAGGAAAACCTGACCGGGATGTGAACCGATCCACAGCCTCTGATCAGCAGGTAGGCATCAAAATAAAACAATTTTCTTACAAACAGAATCAGCTTCAAGTTTTCTGCTGCAAGTCAGAACCTGGTTGCTTCTTTCAAAATTAAAAAAACTCATACGTGAAGAATACAACTAATTGCTGTTGTTTATTTTGCATTCATAGCCAAACTGAGCTTCAGATGAATTTCACATTTTCATCTTTATGACACAAATTTAACCCCAACCAATGTTTTTCTCTATTTTTTTTGCTCCATGTTTTATCAAAACATTTGAATAGAATCAGCATGTAAATGTAAAAATCTAAGGAAGACAACTTTTCTGCCAGTTCAAAAGCGAAAGAAATCAGCTTCATACCTGAAAGAAAAAAGAAAATCTGCATTTCTTTTTTCTTCTTGTCTGCTTGTGTGTGGCAGCTCGTAGGTGTGTGGACGTGCCCCACCCTGTCTTGTTTCAGGAGTAATGATCTGTGTTGCCGCCCTGCCTCGACTTGCTGCTTTTCACTTTTCTGCACACCTGCTATAGTCCTGCCATGCGAGCCCAGGGATCCACAGCGGGGATCCAGTGTCTCCTTTCTCTGTTAATCTGCTCTGAAAGCCTCGCTGTTAATGAATGGCAACCTTTTTACCTGGCCGGCTTTTTATTACAGGCCTTTCTCTGGAATTTGTTCATTGCTTGTTGAGCCAAACAGACATTAAAACGCTTGTTTGCTTCCATCGGGTGAAATCCTATTATTATCCTGGTAATCTATAGTGAGGGAACAAAAGGGTTATTGTTGTCTCCGCACTCCAACTTCAGGCCCGGATTGCAACACTGAGCTGCAACTACTTGCAGAAGTTTAGCAATTAGGGCTGGACAACATGGCTGAGTCAAAATCAATAATTATTGATTATTGTTTTTCTGTTTCAAATATCTGAAATATTAAAAAACATGATCTTCTTTTACTTTCAAGCCAATATGAGGCACAGTGGTGAAACCTGAAACTGCTGCTACTCAGCAGGTTGTTGCTAGGTAACCAAAGAGTGAGTGGGTTGCTAGGTAACCAAAGAGTGAGTGGGTTGCTAGGTAACCAAAGAGTGAGTTGATGCCACCAATTTTGCTAAGCTGCCTGTGAAAAGGTGGCTAAAGTCATTTCTCTCCCTACATCTCCCAGAATTCTGTGCAGTTCTGGGTTGAAGTTCAGTCAGTACATATCTCAAAAGTCTCAACCGCCATCTTGGTAGGCAAATGCAGCACAGAGCCGAGATGAAGCATGGCTTCGAGATCAACAAAAAGAAAGTATATTGACACTCTTGACCAATGTGTGACAGAAACACATTTTCTCTGCTGTTGGGACCGACCCGCACGATGCAGAGAATCTGGCTTGCTTATTGTTGTCATAGGAGTTGCTCTGACAACAACAAACAAGCCACTAGCTCTTGCCTCATTCGTATCCAACTTCTAACCAATAAAAATATATTACAACTTCTTTTAAATGTTCTTTATTTTTGCTGGTGTTGAAGCTGCACTTGGCTACAAAGATGGCGGCTCAGTGCTCCATATAACTTCTGGTTCAGACTTGTGGAAACTATGTATTGAATATTGACTAAACTATGAGATGTATTATCTCTGGATATTGATCATCTATCACAGAATGTATTGTTATTGATTTATTATCCAGCCCTTAATTGTGTAGAAAAAAATCGCTTTAAATGATTCAGATTTTGTCATGTTACAATAAAAAACATCAGTTTTTAAGATGCATCAGAGCCTGATTGTGCAATTCTTAGAATAATTACAGTATTATTTTAATTATAACCAAAGTAAAGTGGTCAGAAAACAAAAAGCATCACAATCACATAAAATTATTTACAAATTTGTGGTTTTAACTCATAAAACATGGAAAAGATCAAGGTGATCACTTTTACCAGGACAGATGCACACCTTGTAAATTTCCCTCAAACTTCTAAATTGGTTTTTTTATATTTTTTTCTTTCCACTCAACTCTCTGTTAATAAGGCTAAAAGGAGCAGTATTATGTCAAATAAACTTTGTTGAGGTTTATGTTATTCCCTCATCAAAAATACCTGGATTGTTGCCTTTATTCTTTTGTACATGTTTGAGAAATCTTTTGATAATAGAGACCATTTGGGAGTGCCTAAACGCTTGCTTTTACCAAGTAGGGCTCTCAAAGGGCTCCCCTTCCCAAAGTTGCCCAACTCAGCTCCTGCAGACTAGTGGCAGCAGCAATTAGCAAACACCTGGTGGAACTGTGCATCTGCTGAGCTTATTATATAAGTTACTTGCAGGGTTTCCCCCAGTGTATTATAAGTCTGGCGGGTTACCAGGCTTTACTTGGGCCCCCACCAGGCTTAGCATTGCATATTTATTTAACTTTTTTTTTTTTATGTTTTCATTTTAAAGACTTTATAGTCAGTATTCATGTATTAATCTTCTAATAAAATAATTATCAAGTGATATTTTCAAATTTCCTGTCAACTTTAAACATTTCTTAATCCAAAAGCCCAGAATAAGTGACTGCCCTCACGCCTCAACCTCCAGGCTTAGTAAGTTTACCGGGGGAAACCCTGACTTGTTCTTGAAGGGTTTATGGAGAAACGTTGTGATGACATGTACTAAAGGTTGAGTGTCGGAAAGAGAAGGAGTTTCTTAAAGAGTCCAGTTTGAAGGTGTTAAATTATATGTATATACAACTGAAGGCAACATTAACTTGACTATGCTATAAAATGTCAATATGTGTTCAGAAAATACAACACTGCCCCTTTAAATGATCATTTTGTGAATCTTTCCAGTGTTTTCCACCATGACGCCTCAGATCACCATCTCAACTCACCTGCTCCTCCATCACCTCCTCCCCTTCACCCTCTCTCTCCTCCAGCCTCCCCACCACCAACCCGTGCTCGTGCCCACCCTGGTCCCCCACGCACCGACACCTCTGACCCGCTCGCGCTTCAGCGCCGAGGCCCAGCTGGACTTCACCACCCGCTGCAACTCCAGCTGCTTCCACCGAGCCGAGCAGGAGGAGCAAATGACGGACAAACTGGCCTTCGAGACGCTGTACGCGGACGGCTTCCGCACCCTGACCACGGTGGAGGTGGAGGATGATGATGCTGCTCTTCATCCGACTCACGCGCCCGCGTGGAGGAGACGATTGAAGCGCAGGATGAAGCGGCAGATCTACGGGGCGGACGGGCGTTTTAACATCCAGGGTGACGACTTCCTGATGGATTATCCCTTCTCCACGGCGGTGCGCATCTCCACCGGATGCACGGGCGTCCTGGTGTCCCAGCAGCACGTGCTCACCGCGGCCCACTGCGTGCATGACGGGAAGGATTACGTTCATGGAGCCCGGAAGTTGAGGGTGGGCTTCCTGATTCCTCCGTCCGTAAATGGCACCAAAGCCGGGTTGATTCCCAACAAGAAGCCGCTGGTCCGCTGGGTTCGGGTGAAGCGCACCCGGGTGCCGAAGGGCTGGATCCAGGGCCCGCATGAGGTCAGCATGGACTTTGACTACGCCCTTTTGGAGCTGCGGTGGCCCCACCGGCGCCCCTTCATGCGGCTCTCTGTTGCGCCCTCTTCGGACGACCTGGCAGGGAACCGCATTCACTTCTCCGGGTTCGACAGCGACCGTCCGGGGGAGCTGGTGTACCGGTTCTGTCCGGTGGAGGAGGAGTCCAGCGACCTGATCTACCAGCACTGCGACGCGCGGCCCGGGGCCAGCGGCTCCGGGGTCTACGGCCGGGTGTGGGACGACGCGCTGGAGCGCTGGGAGAGGAAGGTGATCGGGATTTTCTCTGGACACCAGTGGCTGGAGATCGACGGAGAGAACCGGGATTACAACGTGGCTGTCCGCATTACGCCGCTGAAGTTCGCCCAGATCTGCTACTGGGTTCATGGGAACCGACTGGACTGCAGGCAGGACTGAGACAATACAGGGTCACTTTTAGTTTAGCTGCTGCACAAACCATCCCTGGGGCGAAGTCAGCAAAGTTACAGAAAAACTTGACAGCAATACATTTGTTTTATTTACCCTGTTATAAAACTATTCGATTATTCGAAGTTATATACTTCGAATATCAGTAGCTAGCAAGCTACATATTTAGCTTCACATATTTAATTTGTGAGCTAAATACTTTAAAACACTTAGCTTCCTCATGTAAGACTTAAAATTAATTATTTGTCTTGCTAACTAAATACTTTGAAGCTAAATATTTAACTTTCTAGCTAAAAATATTTATAATTGACTTAAAACTAAATACTTGGCTTGCTAACTAAATATGTAGTTAAGCTAAACACTCAGCTTCAAGCTAAGCATATAGCTTGGAGATAAATATTTAGTTAACTAAATATGTAGCTTGCCAACTAAAGATTTGACTTCAAACTAAATAGCTTGCTAACTAAATGCTTAATTTACTGCAAACTATTTTGTGCTGTAACTAAATACCAAGTTTCAAACCAAGTATTTGAATGAATGAACGAAGATACTTTACAAATCTCAGAGGGAAATTGGCAAATACGTTTGTAAATGTGCTGGCTAAATACTTAGTTTGTATTTAGCTAGCAGTAAGCTAAATATTCAGTGTGCTAATATTTAGTTTGAAACTGACATTTATTAATGAATGATTATCATGGTGAAAACATTAACCCTTTTTTTCCCCTCTTAGATCAAATAACCCAGATTATTGCTGTTAAGGTTTGACAATGTAACTTTACAAACGCACCTTATAAAAATCTGAGTGCAACAGAAATATTTCCATGTAGGTCTTTCTTTGCATCAGGGAAAAAAAATCTACATTTGGCTCCATGTTCCCTCTCCTGTGTTTAATTGGTAACCTCTGCGCCCGTTAAATAAATCTGCCAGTGAGATCACAGCTCTGATTTTTGCCTGCGGTCAGATTTATGTCAATGTTTCCACAATAATAGCTGAACCTCCCCAAGAAGAAAAAAACACTTTCTCCTGGCGCAGCAGCCGTCCCGCTGTCGATCACTGTAATCTACCGAGGATAAATTATAATCTCCCTTCGACTTTCATCTGCATCCCGCTTTGGTGGTTTTGGCATTTCTCCATTTATAACACAGCTCCTCCTGCACGCATCTGAAGAGCAAATAAACAATAAAACTGCTTCCTATCATTTTGGCGGACACTTTAGACTTCTCATAGTTGACTGAATGTTAGGACAGAATGTTAATTTTATTTTTTCACGAATGCTTGAGATATTTTAATAAACAGAGTTTTAATTGTTTGTGTGAAGTCCTTTTGGTGTAAAGAGGAGTTCGACTGCCCCCATGTGGCCACAATAAGTACTGCAACTCTCAACTGTGAATGAGCCTAATTGATGTTGCAGATTAATCGATTAAAATTGCTGCTCTTTAAAGAATTAACACACTTTTTACCACCGATACTCTTCTTGTATGTATGTACAAACAGAAATATTAATATTCAGAGATGGAAGGACGAATGTGAAAACAGCAGAAAATATATTGACCTCAGTAGGTAAAGTGAATAAATAGGACTGAAACGATTAATAGTGAATTGATTATTAAAATAATTGTCAGCTAATTATTGTAATCAATCATTAACTGGAGTACAAAAAGAAAAGAAAGACCAAGAATGTAGTCAGAACAGTAATTAAGGCAAAATGGCAAAAAAAAAAAAACAATAAAACATTTACATTAAAGATTCAAAAAATAACTTTTGTAAATATGTTCTACCCAAAACTCCTCAAGTGGCATAACTTTAGCTTTACCCAGATGAAATTATACAATAGAATGATTTAAGAACTACCTTTTCTATAATTTCATTGATTAATCCAAACATATACACAGATTAGCCTTGAATTGTATTTTTCCATGTTGATGTTAGAATATTTTTGACATTCAAATGCATCTTTTATGATCAGGTGTTCTCTAAAAGAATGCAACATTACTGAGTTTTAGGCAATAAAAAATGTTTATTTGCATCTGTTAATGTATTCTACTTTATTTAAAAAATGTAATTTGTATTTTTTAAATGTTTTTCTATTATGACTTTAGTTCAGTAAAAAAATTATAGAGAATTCAATCCAACTAATCAGAATAAATCAATATTTCAAATACTAAAATAATTAGTTGCAGTTACAGATATAGAAAAATATTATTTTCTAGAAGAAACAAGAATACCTCAGTTTCAAAACTTTTGAAACTCAGATATTTTCTTTTTCTATAATTTCTGGGATTAATCTCAAACTAAATTTTACATTTTTCAAACTGAAAAATGTCGTTTTCCCTTCTGTATTAAAAATGCGCGTGTAGTTTAAGACGACGGATAAATGGGAGGACAAACCAATTTATGAACTGGATGGACAGAGAAACAATACAGATGGTATTGAAAACAAATTATAAAATGACTGGCCGATAACCAAACTGATTGCTAGATTAATAAATAATGGATGGATTTTTCCAAAACACTTAAAATATCTTTTGTCAGTTTATGCAGCACAAATAGAAAATATATTTTAAAAAATTAAGTAACTGATATCCAGTTTAAAAGAACCAAAAAGCAGAAGAAGTCAGTAGTTTAGTGCTTTTATTAGAGATAAGGAGACGATACAAAACATCCACCCTTCGCTTCAGTTTGCTTGTCCTTCATTTACACGTCGCTCCGCGTCAAACCTTCAACAACACCACAAAGCTTTTTAAAACGAGGAAACCTTTTTTAACAAGTACAAGGAATGTTATGTTCACTACATCGAATGCCGAGTTCTCCGACACAACAGGAAATAAAACGGAATCACTCAAGTTTTAGGGATTGCATAAAAACAACAAAACCAAAAACAACCCAAAAACCAAACAGAATGACAAAAACATATTTAACCGTGTTTCCCCCAGAGGTTTTCATCCGTCTTGTGCAAACAAGAGTGAATTAGTTCATACTACGCCTAGTGTCAACTACACACAAAACCTAACTAGAAGTTTGGCAAAAAAATAAAATAAAATGTAGTTGGAATAGTTTTCATGATTTTAAGAACTGTCCCTTTCGCTGAAATATTTCAAGTGGAAAGAACAAAACCCTGTCCAGAAACGTGAATAAGTGCATTTAAATGTCATCGTCTTCATCACCATCCTTCATCATTAGTATCTTTAGGTGTGTTTTGTTCATAATCCTTATGTTGCATGAACTGGAACAGTCTGCCTGTTTGTGTTTTTTTGTGTTTTTCTTTGTCACTTGACCCCAAACCCACCCCAGGTCGCCCTCCCCAGGAGTCCCACAAATGACGCTGGTTCTCCTTTTGCCCCGTTTTCTCCAACCCGACTGGAATGAACAGCTAAACCCAACAGATGTGTCTGAGAGGCTTCGACCGAAGCCGCGGGAGGAGGAGGAGGAGAGGCTTGTTTATATAGGAGATCCTTCCAGGGTGACTACCGACGAGCCGCCCAGCTTCTCCGCCAGCGTGCGTCGCTCCTTCAGGTCCTCCAAACCGTTCACCTGCCACTCATGCTTGATGCCTGGAGAAAAATAAAAAATAGACTGACCCGTCAAAAACTGGGAATATTTAATGAGAGGCCAGGTTTTCACCTGATTATTCTGACTAATATCTCTGTGATTAAAAAATACAGTTATTGATTCTCAAGATATTTAAAAACAAAATGACCAGTCAATCCTACAGGACAAATTTCAGCCATTTTAAATTAGTAAAAGGAGTAAATGAATCTATTCATAATTCCCAGAACTAAGAATTGCAATTCTTGATAGTGTCGACTTTTTTTCCCTGCACCTCTAGATTGAATCATCCTCATCATCCTCATCATCACAGCTACAAATGATTTTGCCCCACATCTCTAGAAAACCCCGCTCTGTCTCTGGCATCTAAAAACAAGAACTTTAAACTTCAGACAGAAACATTTTGACGGTTTTTAAACCTTCAGCTGGCTTGATGCCGTTACCCAGATGGACTGAAGTAGAGCAAATGTTGGATAAACACAGGAATCGACTTGGATCATCATGAATTCAAAATCCCAAACCAACCAAACATGTTTAAAGGAAGAAAATCCAGAAAATCCTGGAAACCGTCCGAATAAAGTTCCCGTCGCGCGCTGCTCACCTTCAAATTTCCTCTTGATGGCGTCTTTAGAGCTGGCGTAGATCATCTTACTCTTCAGCGGAGCGCTGTCCGGTGCCCTGAGGAAGAGGAGGAAAAGTTTAAATCCATCGCCACGATTCTCTGAGAATAGTTCAGCAACAACGATCCTCACCAGAAGATGAAGACCAAGTCCTCCTTCTTCGTCTCTTTGGTCTCGTAGGTGGCGTCGTACAGGGCGTAGCGGCAGTCGTCAGGCGGCAGCATCTTCACAAAGTCCTGGTACGGGTCCTTGACGGTGTTGCCGATGTCACCCAGCAGGATTTCTTTGCCCTCGTCCAGAACGATGTTCTTCAGGTCCTTGCTGAGGCAGAAGAGGATGGCCTTCTTCCTCTTCCTCTTCTCGTCCTCATTCGCCTGAGCCTTGCGGACCTTCATGTCGTTGAAGATGGCGATCACTTCATCCGTGACTTTCACACCGGAGGCCTGCGTCAACAGAAAACACCTTAACCGGAGCCGGGCCCGACCCAATCAATTAACTGATCAAATGATAGATCAGAAGGATTCCTCTCTTTATACCAAAAATAATGACAAACGTCTTCAGTCTGGGGCTTTTTTTGAAGGATAATTTTGTTTACAGAGAATTCATAATTCATTTTATTTGTCATTTCTGTTTTTTTATTTATTTTGGACATTTAAAATAAATAAATAGTCATTTTAATTTAAAGTTTATTCATATTTGAGAATGTATTCCTGCATTATTATTATTATTTTAATTACACGAATACTTGGAAAAAACAATATTATCACTTATTGTAATAACTTCCGGGACAATTTGTTGTCCAACAAATTTGTTATTGTCTTCTGATTATAAAATATGGAAAATGTGTTTTTTAAATTACCCATTTACTCTATTGCTTATTATTTACAGTGAAGAACGTCACAAGAATTTTGATGTATCTTTGTCTCAATAAATTTTAAATGTAAAGTATAATAAATACAAAAAATTGTAAAAACATTTTCTACAACAATGTTTTGCAAAAGCATGAAATAATATCAGTAAATTCAAAAATATGATTAAATGATGTTACTGTTGGAGATAAAACTATTGCAATCAAGGAACCTGAAGCATTTATTTTGTTTTAAACAGGAAATATTATGTTTAACTCCTTAAAAATGCTAAATTTTATATTTTGTTGAAGAAAACCTGAAACCTGGTGAGTTTGAAGAAACATCCTCTTAATTTATACACAGACGCTCTATAACTTTTTGAAAATAGAAACCAAGTTGTGCTGATTAAAGCGTTTGCTGCAGGTTTACGTTTGCCAGCTGTGACTGAGCAGAGGCGACGGAGCCGAGGAACCTGAGAGGGCGACATGTGACCGTCACGCGCGACACGAATCCTCCCAACGGCGGCGACTGATAAGACAGACGGGAGCAGAAAAAGGTGTGGCCACGAACGGCCGACAGCAGTTAGTAGAGCTAGCGCCAAGATAGACCCAAACCCAAACAATACTCCAGAGGAGAGACGCAACATGTACTCAAGCAAAAGTACCAAAGAATCACCCAAGTAAAAAAAGGACAGAATAACTGATCGAATTATCAATCATTTAATATTTAAAATTTACGTCATCGGATGAAGCAAAATGTTTGTATTTTAAGGATGAAAATGACAATCAAATGACATAATTCATAAGTAACATAAAAATAATAAAATCAGGCAAAATTAATTTTCCCAAATCTTTCAATAATAATAAAAAAGAAAAACTTATGAAAGTTTCACAAAAACTGCAGGTCTGTGTCTGATGAAAACATGTTTATTTTTCATTCAGTGGGTAGAAAATTCAGAAATCTTATTCAAGTAAAAGTAAAAATACTTCATAATAAAATTACTCATAAAAGTAACTTTTTAAAGAGTAACTAATAAATGTAATAGAGTAAATGTAACTAGTTGCTACCAAACTCTGACATAAACAAACATAGTGTGGTAGAAGCAACCTAAAACAAACAAAAACAAGCAACTTAATCAATATAATTAATAATAAATAAAAATATTTAATGTCTAAATCTGAATAAGTTTGTGACTCCCAGTCAGCCGGTAGGTATAAAACATTACATAAGTGTCTTTGTGTCATGCATTCCTGCGGCAAAGATGGCCATGTGTGAGAGGCTGCAGTCGGGAATTAAACACCCAAACAATAAAGCCTCTGTTTATAAAAACCGAATCCAAATCAGTCCCAAACGGCCCATAAAGACACTCAGTCAAGTCTCCTGACTCTCCTTAGCCACTTCATGTGGAGAAACCGCCGTCTCAAACCGATACGACAAACATAACAGTGGAAAAAACACAAAGAGGAGGAAGTAGGCCAGGAAAGACAGGAGCGGAGCGGAGCTGACTGCAGCATGCATCTGTGTGCTCAGGGGGTTAAAAGCTCGTAGTGGGAATCATTAACCAGCAGACACCTTAAGAGGTAAACACTTCCTTAATATTTATTACATCATCCAGGTGCAGATGTTCCCCCATTTCCTGAACTTTTCATTAAAGGGTTAAGAATCCATAAGAATCCCACCTTCCTATCAGACAGCTTAAATATAAAACTGACATTTTCCACATGCAAAAATTTGCATTTTATTTAGTTTAAATCTCTTTTTATTTATCTGCTTTGCTAGGTTTAAAAAAAAAAAAACCTTTTTTAAAAGTGAACATGAAGTTTTTCTTTGTTCAAAAGAGCTTCACTTTGCTCTCTGCTTATCTAATCTTAACCATTTATTACACAATTCAAAGTTCAGGATCCACATTCCCAGTGTGCAAAGCCTTCATTACCTGCTGGAGTTAAAGCAAGGCCTTCACACCTTTAACACAGAGCATTTTCATCATTTCTGCTCATACCAGACTCAGAGGGGAGAAACAAGTTCAAATGAGTCAGCGTTTATAAGCATCTGCAACAAAAACTCAGAAGTATAAAGTGATTTTCAAGCATTAAAACTGAATTGAAACTAAAATAACACACATTGCTTAGATTCGCAGGTCAAGCTCTTCCAGACGGATACAGATTTCCTGTTTTTTTTTTATTTTTCCCATTTTGACTGAAAAGAAGAAGTGTGTTGTAGTTTATATTTTCAAAGTTAATTGCAATATTATTACAATCAGAGGACAGACTGGCATCTGATCTGCCAAAAGACATTGTGACAATTTTGACATTTAGAACGTTTTCCCTTCATATAATAAAAACAAAACCTTTAAATCTGAGAAATGGTAAAAACTGAACATAATTTCCTACAGGTTGAGTTTGCTTAGAGGTCTGACCTGCCAATTTCATTTTTAATTGGTTTCAATTTACTTTTGTAAGGACAATGAAACAAAAATATAGGATCAGGTGTGGTTGAGGAATTTACAGACCAATTGGCGGGACGCAATAGTCGTTAAAACCAGCCTAGTTGCAGCTAAGACCAAACCAATCTTTCTAACTTGTTTTTATTCCACAAGAAACCAATCTTTCCTTGTTTTTTGTACAGATTCAGTAATTGGCCCTGTAATATACAGACTTGTGTAATGCTGTGGGTTCTCAGATGGAAACTGGAAACCAAAGATGATGAAACATTTACACCCAAAGCCTGATGTGGTAAATTAACTGGTGGGTGACAGAAATGAGTCAATCTTTTGTTTACATTTAGAGTGGTGAATTGATCATTATAAGAACTGATCTAAATCTTCTAGAAAATAAAAAAATAAGTCATGTTTTTTACACTTTTGTTACTTGATACATTTAGTTACATTTTGGGCAGGGGGAGTACGTTTGGGAGTATTTATTACAAAGTATTTCTACCCTAACTTGAGTAAAATTTCTGTATACTCTTCCCACCTCCATAAGGTAAAATCTCAATTCCATACTTTAGATCGCGTTAATACAGCAGGAATTACACATCGCCGTCTCTATTTAGGTAAAATGATGTAGCGGGCCTTCATGTTACTGGCAGGATGCGCAGCAACAAAACAAGATGCGGCAGTCTGCGTTAGCCTCTGCTAACTCTAATGTTACATAACCTAGATTATTTTGGACGTCATTTCAGAAGAAAAGAGCAAACAAATATGCCCACAGCGAGCAAAAGAGCATGGAAAAATGAGAGTGGCGTTATAAAGCAGTGGGAGACAAAATGGTCTTTGCACCAAATTCAGGGTGGGGCCATGAACGCAGCACATGTGAGCGCTAGCTTGCTATATAAGGCAAAACTACCCACATACACACTGTCAAATATCACTTATTTATTCAGCATTGTTAAGGAATACTCCGTATGTTTTATTTAGAAACAAATTGGCTCAGTTTGGCTTCGTCTGCAGCGCTGAGGTGACAGAAACTGAGCGTGCAGAGGCGGCGAAGAGACAAAGAAGGATAAATCTCAGCTAGCGCCAGTCATACCAGTAGCTAGGAATGCTAACGCCACGATTATAACTAGATGAGGCGCCGCTGCACCTGCCAGCGAGGCGAGTCTGGAGGTGAAACAACAGAAACACGATGCAGTGAAAACATCGGCGCAGTGTCATGGCAACGCCGCGACCGTTACCTCACACCTTTCCCTGCGAAACGCACCAAGAAAGCCGAAATGGCGCCAGTTTCAGGGCAATTGGTACTTTATCTTCCCCGTTACGACAGAAGGAAAGTATCCTGCTGGGGTTATTCACTGAAGGGGAAAAAAATCACAACGCATGTGACTGATCGGGAAAGCATAACCGGCTAAACCAGCAGGGCAGCATTAGCTTACCCTCTGGGTTGCTAACTGTGGCTGCTGCGGCAGCCAGCCGGTTAGCCGATGCTAAACCAACAAAAACACCAGAAAAGTAAACACAAATCTGACCTATTAAAAGAAGAAAACACCGTGTACTTTCAAAACATATCTATTATGGGGAACGGGAGCCGCGACGTTGTTTAAAACGAGAACAAAATCAACATAGAGCAGTAAAAAAAAAAAAAAAAAAAAAAAAAAAAAAAACACCTACCATTGTCAGAGCAGTGAACAGTTCAGCGTCTGGGAGAAATTGAATGGACCGATGACGAAACGACTATATACACACTGCGGGAGCGCGCTTAGGAGCGCGTTCCCGGCTGTAGCGGCGTAACCGGAGTGAGCACCTACGTGAAGCTGACACCCCACCTACGTCATAAAATCCAGCAGATAGTCAGATTGGTTAGTGCTCCGTTAGTGCAGGTTTGTGCCGTTAAAATTTTCGTTTGTGCAGCTTTGGTTTCCGAGATATTAAAAATTATTTTTTTAGGTCATCAGAGTTCACCATCCCCCCATATAGCTCCAAAACAAACCAAAGTGGGCTGGTTCGTTGGTGCTCCGTTAGTGCAGGTTTGTGCCGTTAAAATTGTCGTTTGTGCAGCTTTCGTTGTTGAGATATTAAAAGTTATAATTTTGGCCGATTACGTAACCATCCCCCCATATAGCTCCAAAACAAACCAAAGTGGGCTACTTTTTTAGTGCTCGGTTAGTGCAGGTTTGTGCCGTTAAAATTGTCGTTTGTGCAGCTTTCATTGTTGAGATATTAAAAGTTATAATTTTGGCCGATGACGTCACCATCCCCCCATACAGCTCCAAAACAAACCAAAGTGGGCTACTTTTTTAGTGCTCGGTTAGTGCAGGTTTGTGCCGTTAAAATTGTCGTTTGTGCAGCTTTCATTGTTGAGATATTAAAAGTTATTTTTTAGGTCATCAGAGTTCACCATCCCCCCATACAGCTCCAAAACAAACCAAAGTGGGCTACTTTTTTAGTGCTCGGTTAGTGCAGGTTTGTGCCGTAAAAATTTTCGTTTGTGCGGCTTTTATTGTTGAGATATTAAAAGTTATAATTTTGGCCGATTACGTAACCATCCCCCCATTACGCACCAAAACAGACCAAAGTGGGCTGGTTTGTTAGTGCTCGGTTAGTGCAGGTTTGTGCCGTTAAAATTTTTGTTTGTGCAGCTTTCGTTGTTGAGATATTACCAGTTATAATTTTGGCTGATGACGTCACCAGCCCCCCATATTGCTCCAAAACAAAGTGCTAGGTTTTGCCGCTGTCCCTTGTGAGATATTACATAATTTTGTTTTAGACAACTGACTACACCTCAATTGATGACTGTGGCCTTCGCTGGACATAACCACAAAGCAAGCAGTGATAAATTTTGTCATTATGTAAGTTAAGTTCTGCAGATTTTCAACTGTTGTACAATGTACCTTCCTTTGTTTTGAACGTCAATAAAAATTTAGAAAAGAACAAATGTCTCATTTTAAGAAATTTTTTTAGATAGTAATTTTTTTCACCAGTAGCTATAGCTCTCTACACAATAATTGAATCCTGTCAATAGAGGACATGCAGCCATGACCATTATGTAATGTGTATAAGTTGTATGACTGTTCAGCTGTGCTTTGGTTTCAGACGTGATCTGAACAATTATATTGACATTGTTGATGTCTGCTGATTATGCATTTAAAAAAGATTTTTTAAAAATCTATAGCTAACATGCTAGTTGCTTGAGCAAATGAATTTTTATGCCTCGTAAAACTGGAAGTGCATGGCAGCTTCATTGGTTCAACAAAGTTCATCCAAGTAATGTACTTAATATTTAGTAAATATATTTTAAATCCCACAAGTTTCATTTAATACAATTTCTGACATAAAATGTATGCATGGGCAGCCATGCCATAGACAGAGTCTGTTTTTGCAGTTCTCTGCAAGTCAAAAGAGGCTATCCTCAAAAACAGTAATATAGCCACTTCAGCTGCCGCTGTCTGGACAGAGCTAAGTCAGCAGTTGGAAAATAAAATGTCTGCAAAAGGCCTACACACTATTGTAAAAATGAACAGACACAACATCTGGGCAAGATTGGAAATAAATCCTCAAGAAAGTGATACTGAAAGCCCTGTGGACACAGAGTTTGACTGGCACCACTTCTTCTGGACAACTTTCAGATTTAACCCATTTGAAGAATGGGTTAAATTTATACCTGAAACAGTTGAATACAACAAGTTTTCAACATCTGGCAAAAGGAACTACACAATTTTAAAACCTGGCACTTGGACTCATATCAATGATCTGGTGTGGAAAAAATTCAAACACACATGTACTTTTGTATTCCAAAGAGCAAAGTTTATCCAACTGTCACTAATAAGTACATTGATATCAAAGACTTCTGTAAAGAGTGTCAAGGCCATGTTACAATGACATGCGACAGAGAGCCAACAGACAACAGAATGCTCCAGTGTTCCATCGAAGGTGCTGACATCTCCCTGCACACTGGCCAGCCCAAAAGATGCATGTCAGGAACCCTTTGTGCACAAATTTCAAAGGAGTTGTGTGAGGATAGGATGGAGCCAGCTGTATGGAGGTCAGCAAAGGCATCAGAGTTGATGGATTTCCAGACTGACCTACGAGACTGGGTGTCAAACATTTGTGAGGAGAGCAGGACACACTCTGCATCTAATGGGGATAGGGATAACATCAATTTCCTCCCTGAGATTATGCCACACATTATAAGACTTGCAAGTTACTTACCACTGTGAACAGTAATCATGGTTCCCCTCTTCAAAAGTACCTGCCTCACAGCAAGCTCAGCCAATGTTGAAGCATAATTCAAAAATGTAAAACATGGCCTCTTCAAACATGAGAACTTACCCATTCGAGTTGATCACTTCATTTCTCGGCATTTTTCCTTCATCGAAGGAAATATGCGGATTTACTCTGAAAAAGCAAAACAGGAGGAGGGACAAGTTGCATCAGCAGAAGTTACAGAAGCTAGCCCTGCATTCATAATTACCCGCAATGCTGAAGGTAGCAGAAACATGGATTCTAGTGATGTAATGGAATCGGAAGCCACCAGAAACCTTTCCACCGCAGATGAAAATGCGGTTGAAAACTGGAGAGGACAACTTCTTCCACCCAAAAAGAGGAATAGGACTTCATACCCGAGTTCCTGCACTGAATGGTTCCATGCAGATTCATCATCTGGGGCCAAAAGAGTGAAAATAGGACTATTGAAAAATGGAAACATGCATCAGCCTGTTAAAGTTGGGATATTGTCACTCTCTGTGTTAAACACCTGCTCCTTTGATGCCTTTTGTAAGTGCTTATGCTGTACTTTCTGTGACAGCTCTGCATTTCAAAATGTTGTCATGAATGACAGTGACAACCCACTGTTGCAGCTGGTGAAATCCATAGCTATAGATGGTGTGACCCCGAAGAAATACTTGCATAGGGTAGATCTACTTAGTTCAATGTTTACAAAAACACAGTTGAGGTCTGGCGCCCACCAAATCGATGCACAGTGCAATAGTTCACTGTCAAAACACTGCTCTTCACAATACTGCCACCTAAACAAAGGAATGAACAGGGAAGTACCATTTGTTTTACCAGACATTTCTGTTCCGAAGATTTCTGGCATGGGTTACACAGCAAATTTGTGAGAGAAAAATTTTGGGGAGAAAGTTTGAAGACTAGGCTAAAGGAAAATAGTGTCATGCTACATGGACTCCACTCCGGGTCGCTCCTGGAACATCCTGTCATTCTGATCAGTTTTTTTTTTTTTGCAAGTTTTCTATTCAAGACAGGATAAATTAATTTCCAATTGTCAATACACTGTTTGTTGTTGTTTCAATTGTTAAAGTTCATTGTTCAAATCAACACAGTTTCTTATTTGACTGTCAACTTATATTGCATTTTAAAACCAGCCACTTCCATGGTTCACTACTTCTCAATTGCCTCACAATGCAGATATTTGGGTGGGTAAAAAGCAAACCATAACACACATGTATGCAAGTTCATGCATAACAAAAATATAATAAATTACCAGAGATATTTTTCTTCTGCAACTGTATTGATTATGCCATGATTTCTTGCAAACAGTACCTTTTCTATAATAATTAATAACCTCAATTGCATAAAAACGACACCGAAAACAAAACTTACCCACAGACAGGAATTTGCTGGAAGACAACTGGCGAGGAAATGAAACAGGGAGTACAGCATGCAGCAGGTGAAATTAATTGTCCCCTAATTAGGTGAATGTACTCAGTGAATATTACACTCTGAAACCACCAAATAAAGTAAAATAAGATTTCGTTGGTTTATTTAGAAAAAGTAAGAATAACAATAATAGTGTCATCTCAAATTCTCATTTGCATAATATAATCTTTGGGTGACATTGTGGTCCACACAACATTCCAGTTACAAACCTGTACAAACGGAGCACTAAGGAAGTAGCCCACTTTGGTAGGTTTTTGTACCGGAGCTATATGGGGGGATGGTTACGTAATCGGCCAAAATTATAACTTTTAATATCTCAACAATGAAAGCTGCACAAACGAAAATTTTAACAGCACAAACCTGCACTAACCGAGCACTAACGAAGTAGCGCACTTTGGTTTGTTTTGGTGCGTAATGGGGGGATGGTTACGTAATCGGCCAAAATTATAACTTTTAATATCTCAACAATAAAAGCCGCACAAACGAAAATTTTTACGGCACAAACCTGCACTAACCGAGCACTAAAAAAGTAGCCCACTTTGGTTTGTTTTGGAGCTATATGGGGGGATGGTGAACTCTGATGACCTAAAAAATAACTTTTAATATCTCAACAATGAAAGCTGCACAAACGACAATTTTAACGGCACAAACCTGCACTAACCGAGCACTAAAAAAGTAGCCCACTTTGGTTTGTTTTGGAGCTGTATGGGGGGATGGTGACGTAATCGGCCAAAATTATAACTTTTAATATCTCAACAACGAAAGCTGCACAAACGACAATTTTAACGGCACAAACCTGCACTAACGAAGCACTAACGAACCAGCCCACTTTGGTTTGTTTTGGAGCTATATGGGGGGATGGTGAACTCTGATGACCTAAAAAAATAATTTTTAATATCTCGGAAACCAAAGCTGCACAAACGAAAATTTTAACGGCACAAACCTGCACTAACGGAGCACTAACCAATCAGACTATCTGCTGGATTTTATGACGTAGGTGGGGTGTCAGCTTCACGTAGGTGGAGTGAGCGCATGTACCGTGGTGGCTCGTTTATTGCAGCTTTTTTGTATATTCCTGTAATATCTTTATTTGTGCATCTGTCTTGCCAACAAATTACTTCCTACTAAAATTAAACTACTTTGAATACTTAATTTAGCTTACTGTACTGTTTAAGTATGAATCAAAATGTATGTATGGTACGATTTAATTTGTATAATTATATTTATATAAAGTGCCTCGAAATGACATTTGCTGTGAATTGGCGCTATATAAATAAACTGAATTGAAATGAATTAAATTCAATACATTTCAATAATAACACTCGATAAAATATAATGATTGTTCTGGTTTCTCAGTTGGTGGCTGCATGTTTTTATATATTCTTTTTTTCTTCACTTTTTGTGTTCTTATGATGTAAATACTTTGAACTGTCTTGTTGCTAAAATGCGCTCTACAGCTAAACTTAATTGATTGATCAATTGATGATTTCCCCGGGCTTTGTGATAAAGCAAATATAACCCATACTGCTTAGACAGGTAAGTAGTAAATTATTTTAGTAAATGTAAAAATGTCAATTTATGTATTCTCATTATTATGATTGGTGGTAGTAGTGAGCATGTACTCCCCATTTTTTCATTTATTTATTTGCTTTACTCGCTATAAATTATGTGAGTAACTGTTGGTTTAATCAGCATTATAACTGCTCTTGTAAATGAATACGCGCAGTTAATTATCTCATTAATGGCGAGATAATGAGCCTGTCATTGTACCCAGTCGAGGCTAGAAAGCGGATAGCATGTTAGCAGTGGGAGGAAATTCTCCGCCGCCATTCGTTCCTCCTCCCCTTTGCGCGGTTTTCGTTTAACTCACTTCCAAATATGGAAATCGAACGAGGAGCGGCGGTCGGGTGCACGCGCCTCTCTCTCGGCGCGGAGGGGGAGGGCCGAGCAACGGCGCCTAACACCATATAAGGAAACAAGGGACACGAAATTTGCCGCACGAGATTTTTGTGGAGCATCGAATGGCGGAGGGAGGGAGAGGCAGAGTGGATACCGAGCAGGAGGAGGAGGAGGAAGCCGGGAGAAACATGGATGACTCACGAAATTCAGATATTTGTAGAGCGGATACAAACACCTGAACGTCCAGGGGACCTGAGCAGAATACATTGTCTGCGTGGAAACGTATAAAAACACGATAGAATCCCTTTAGCCAACTAAGCTTGAAAATAGTAAAATCGGTGGGCCAAGAGAACATCTGGTAACAAAATAGTCGACTGAAGCCAACACAAGGTTAAGTCATATAAATCAGGGGTGTGCAAAAGACGGCCCGGGGGCCTTTGGTGGTCCGCAGACTGATTTTCTGCGGCCCCTAACTGACAGTTGGTTACTTTTTATTTATGCCAACAAATTCAAATATTTCAACAGAAAATGTCAGGGACAACACAAAAGTATTTGTCCATTAATAACAATGTGTATTTTTTTTTTGTTTGTTTAATTTAAATAGCATCTATCAAATGAGTTTCTCAAAAGCAAATTTTGATGAATTAAAACTTGGGAAAGAATAGCAGGTGTTTCAGGAGAAAGAGTTGCCAAAAGAATGGACTATTTTTTCCAGAATAAATTACCAACTGAATGCCTTTGTCTTAGGCAAACAAAACAATGTTTAAGTTTTACACATCACTTTCCCTCAAAAATGACTGCTTTATTTGTCAAATTAAAATTGGCTTGCACTTAAAGAAATCCAAATTTTTTGTGATTTTAGTTTTGAAAACTCTTTTTATGACGTACGAGTACTTTTACGTTTTGGGTGTCCAATAACTAACAACTCCATTTTACACAAAAAAATTGACAGCTTTTATCATTGAAATAAAAATCTTATTTTATTGTTAAGTAGGTAAAAAAATTTATTTTTCATTTTTTGTCTTTTTGATCTGTGAATCATTTTGGCTTCTTGATTTTGGTGCACATAATAAAAGGTTTATTAGACCTATCCTATCATTTTAGCTTTTTATTTTCATTTTAAAGTTAGTGTAAGAAAACCCCTGAAATTGAAGGGAATAGTGAAATTCTCTCACTCATATTTGAATTTAGCAAACAATTATATTTTGTAATTCCAACATTAAAAAGAAAGCATGAAAGTCAGAAAGAGAAAAAAAAAAGAAATTCTCTATGGGTTTATTAGAAGACTTCTGACTTGTTGCCACAATAAATTCTAATTAATTATGTTTAAAATCCCCCAAAGATGTCAATTTTACTATTTTCTCCACTGTTTGTTCAGTGAGAGTATCAGTACATGTAAATAAATCTCAAAATATGATTAAATTATGTTACTCACACTTTTGTATTTGACTTCTGTCCAAACGAAGCATAAATAAAGTCAGATATAACCTAACAAAACAGCAGGAACTGTGTGAATCTCTGTTTATTCTTTATAAAACAGCATTATGTCAAAGTCATGGTCATCAGATCAATGCAGGAGATTGTTACATTTGCCGTTACTACAATATTGCATGCATTTGTTTCCCACATTTGGAATGTGCTGTGTGCAACAAGCACCAAAGAGGAGGCAAAGTGCAAAAATAACTGCTTGTAAGGCGTCCACAAGCTCCCTCTAGTGGACAAAAACAAAAAAAGAAACACAAAGAACCACACAAGGGTGAAAAATCGTCTCAATAGTCACTTTTGGCCCTGAACACTTCAGACTTGCATATATAATTTCATGCATTTACTAAGAATAAAGCCTTAGTTTCAATCTTTGTGTACAAGGAATATGTTCAGGTGTTAAAGTGCACATTATGGCCCCCATTACACTGAATATTTTTAAAATACCTAATGCTTTCCATTTCACTTCTCTAATCACATCATACTTAAAAAAAAAGACTTAATCTATTCAGGAATGGAGAACATTGTTGCAAATAATAGCAGCCCTTTAATCCGCCACCAAATTCCTTGATTTACTGCAAAAAACAACCAAGTAAATCCAGTCGTGAGAACTGAAAGTCAAAACTGATCAGTCAAACAGCAGATGCAGTTTCATTCTTCTGCTCCACATGTAGAACATTTCACACAGACAGTTGAGCTGTAAATACATCGGTTTTTATGAGTGAGAAACCTTCAGGAAAAAGCTTAAATACCATCACAGAGACATGCTAGTGCCGTTTCTCAGTATTCCTTGAAAACTCAGATTACATTGTGTGAATATAAATATTACTGACGACATTTGATGCAAAGATGATAACATTTGCAACAATCAGAATTTTTATTTTGTGTTTTTGTATTTAAAGACAGTGGTTGCTTTCTGTTCAGGTAATTAATTATACCAACAAGTAGAAGAGAAAAAAGTATACTTCATTATATTAGGACGTTTAAAGCTAACTCTTTGGCTGACTGATCGTTGGCTTTCGCATGCTGGTGATTTGACCTCATTATTCCAGAACTGTCTTTCTTTTTCAGCTTGTACTGAAAAAGCTGCGTCTGGTTTACTCTGTAGTGTCCAGCATGTTTCCATCAGGGTATAACAGACAAAAGAATAAATAAAAATAAAACTTAGTGTCAGTGACACGAAGCTCCCAAGAAAGGGTGTTTTCTGCTAGTTTATCTTTCCAAGGAATGCTAGCTTGTAACATCTATAAGGCAGATCTACAAGGAGAACTGAATATTTTTGAGGCTATGAGGAATGGAAGAAAATAAAAAAGAAGCTACAGAAGCAGGCGTTTATGTAAAAGCTTTAAAGCTGCATTTTGAAGTATCTTTAAGACGGACTACAAAGTGGACCCACGTCTCAGCTCAGTAAGGCTTAAAAAACTGCATGTTTCCATGAGGTGAGAAGGTAAACATTGACCTTTACGTTAAGACAAACTGTAAACTTGTAGAGAGGGTTTTGTTTTGGGATGTTCCTGGACTTTAACAGGCTGTGTCTGATGCTGGTGAGTCAGGATGGGGCAGTCGTCACCCAGGGCCAGTGAGGATGATGATGATGATAAGGCTTTAGTGCTAGAAGTGTGCTTGGGTTTGTGTGCCGTCTGTCTGGATTAGAGACCCTGGGACTCTAGCTGGATTTCTTCTTGACGCTCACTGGTGCGCCTCTCGATTTGTTCAATATCTCCGTAGCCTTAAAAAAATTACACAAAGAAGATCATTTATTGGATTTGATGAAATGTTACCTTCTATCTATTTATCTATAAAGACACAGTGAAACAAAGATGGAGATTAGGGCTCCAACTAACAATTCTATCAATTATTCTGATGAAAGCCTGGCACATTCTGCAGATTTTTTATTTAAATACTTAAACTTATTTTATACAATAATAGAAATATATAAAAAACTAGAAATAAACAGAAAGAAATCACATTATTGATTCCTTAAGTTAACAACACACCATTATTTTAGTGTGTGTGCTTGATCATAGGATGCATTTGCAGCTAAAATACTTCCAACATCAATTTGACTTCATCAATAATCAGTTTATTCACTCGATTTAACAAATTTTGTCATTAATGTACAAACATTCTCTTATAACACTGACTCTACATGAGTTAAAAGAGAGCAGGAAAAGAAGAACAATCTGCCTCTTTCTCGATAATTGCAAAATAAATTTGTCATACATTAAATAATCTCATTATTAACTCAAGTGTATGAAACTTAATCATTTTTTTTATTTTGAATTGGTTTAATGTTGAGCGTTTTTCCAAGTCATCATAAATAAATAATAAATTTGTCATGTCTGTAATATCAACTTTTTTCTTTTTGTTTTGATACCAACCTACCCCCACACTTATATGTCACATCATGTTCCTTTGTCTTTTATTTGTAAATAAATATGTTTTCTAAATAAAAATCAATCAAAAAATAATAAAATAAAAACCTGTTCTAGGACGACGCCGGCAGCCTGGTCGATGGCTCCGCCCACAGGCCGGTACTGGCCGGAGTAGCGTATGAAGGCCCAAACCAACATGGCGACCATCAGCAGCCCCAGGCCGCAGTCGCACACCAAGGCGAAGGTCGTCAGGCCGACGAAGAGCAACACGCCCGACACGATGTAGAGGAGGCACATCAGCACGAAGAGAACCGCCGGAGTCCGGAAGGCGCTGAAGAGGTTCTTAGCCTTTTTAACAAAGAAAATATGGAATCATCACATTGTGAAACAAAACCAAATCAAAATCAAAATTATTCATGGATTCTAGAGATATTTTGACTTTGGCAGCTTTTTCATTCCAGTTTTTGTTTTCTGCGTTTTTTATTACTGAAGTTAAGGGGATGCTTCTCTACTAATTACATCTAATGAGTATAAATGAGATTGAAAATTGTCTTTAAAGTTTTCTGTCATTTTGAGGGATAGTTTCTGTTTCCAGCTGTTTCTGCCTCTGTTGTTGGATTCAGTCCAATTTAATCAAACTCCAGTTTGTTTGAGTAGAAACAAACTGGTTCGTTTGCAGAGATCTGAAAGTAATCAAACAGTAATGTGGACCAAAAGAGTGAACTCTGGTGTGGTTTGAATTCATAACTTTCAAAAATATAGTTCACTTTCAAAACCAGAAAGTGAACTATGGCGCAGGGCATTCTGGGTAAATATGACAAAACAAACGCACGTCAAGCGCTGGCAGGAAAAATGGCTCATGGTTTCTTTTTTTACCAAAGACAGAAACGAAATCCAACAGAGGGTAAAATCTGACGGTACTCCACTTTGTTTACATTTTGTAAAGAAGAAAGTTGTGCTCAGTGTCTTCTGACGTTTTTGAGTTGTTTCCTTCAGTGGTTCTTGGTGCAGCACCCCTACAGGCGAGGAGGGGAACAAGTTGTTTGGATAGTTTGACACAGTACAGTGTGAAAGCGAACCGCAGCAGCTGAAAATGCAACAAATGCTGCAATTTTGATCCCAAATCAAACTAAATCAGGTGTGAAAACACCCTTAGATAAAGTAAAATTCAAAAAAATGTTTAGGTTGAAAACAGGGAAAGTCCAAAATAAAAACATTAAAAGTCAATTTCACTCTGTAAAAGTCACTTTGGAAACAAAATATAAAACTAGATAAGTACTTCAAAAATAAAACTTTCCATTTAGTGGTTTCAGATTCATGCAGAATAAAGTCTCACCTCGTTCTGCTTGCTAAGCGACTGCCACATCTCGTCCAGCTCCTTATGCAGCTGAGCCTGGTAGCGATTGCAAAACTCCTGTCCCCCCATCTTCTTTGTGTTTGCAAACAGGTGGATGGCTTCTCCGTGGAAGAAGTTATGCTTCTCCTCCAGCGTCTCCGGAGACACATACGGCAGATCTCCTCCACAGATCTGAGGCGGGATAAAAACACAAACACATGCTAAATAACCGGAACCGTAGAGATGCATGATGTGGTTCATGCATGGCAGAAAACTCACCCTCTCCATGTTCTTCTGGTATTGATCTTTAGCTGCTGCTACGGCTGCCAGGTTGTTGGCTTCTGCTGTGGCCTGGTAAAATCATAAACATATGTGTTGCTCATAGTGAAGAAAATAACAAAATACTTCAAACTGAGAGGCCTGTTCTGCTCCATAACATTGTACACTTTTCCAACAGCAAAATTCAAGCATTTTAAGGTAAGAAATCAAACTTTTTTGCACCAAACTTTGAAGATAAAAACAATATAAGTTAAGTAAGAAAGATAGTTTTCTACATTCCTACAGCAGGGACACAGAAAACTGAAACAGTAATTAAATTTTATGTGTTGAAATGTTTTTCTTACACACATCCTGAACTTCTGACAGGTTTGAGAAAGTTATAAAAAATGTTTATAAGGTGTTTGAAAATGTCTGATTTCAATAAATAACATTTTTCAAATTTTGGTTTTTAATCAAACATTATATTTATTACCAAACTGTATAGTTGGTTTCAACTAATGTTTAGCAAAATTAGACTTTTAATCAAATATTAAAAATTTGTTTCCAGATGTTGCCGTTGAATTCAAAACGCAGCTGCAGGCTCTGATTCCCAAACTGCTGCATCCAGACAATCAAATATCAGATTGAGCAGATCCACTAGGAATAATAAATGTTACATAAATTGAAACAATCTAACCAAATCTTGAGCTTTTAAATGATTTTTAAACACTAAAACATAATAAAAGTCACAAAAAAAACAATCTATAAAAAATATTCTCGAAAGGTTTCCTGGCATTTAGCAAGTAGAAATATTTTTTGTAATTCTAACAAAAATAAGAAAAGTTTAGTTTGATTTAACTTCAGACAGTGAGAACAAGTATTAGGTGTATGAAAATATCTGGTTTCAAGTGTAAACATTTTGCAAATTTAGGTTTTTAATCAAACATTAGATTTATTGCCAAACTGTGCAGTTTGACTTCAAAGGACTCGCCAGAGAAATCAAGAACTTGAAAACCTAATTGAAATTCAGACATTTTCAAGGATTTCCAGCAGAAAACCAACCCTGCCAACATGTCGACACGTACCATGAGCATCGTCTTTGGCTGAGGCAAATCTTCTCCTTGGTAGATTTTAATGTAAGCCTGGAAAGCAAAGCAGGTCGGAGTAAGAAAAACACAGCGGGCTTCAGCAGAACTGCAGAGAACCGGGGGATTTCACCTTGAAGAACTCCAGCAGGCCTCTGCAGGTCACTTTGTTTCCGTTTATTTCCTTCTCAGCCAGGTTGTCTGGATGCAGCAGTTTGGGAATCAGAGCCTGCAGCTGCGTTTTGAATTCAACGGCAACATCTGGAAACAAATTAAATGTTTTGTTATTTGGTTATTGTGTGCAAAAAATACTTACAACATGAAAGATAATGCAAAAACTCATTATCCACCCAAGTAATCATACATTTATTACATGTATAATGCATATTTAAAACAACTAATCGATATAGTATATATTCAGTTTTTATTACAGCGGATGAAGAATTATTAACACTAGAACTGGAAAACATTTTAGACATTTTAAGCATCCAAAATAAACAAAACAATATTTAAAAAAATAATTAGAAAGTCTCTGTAACCAAAATTGCATTTAAAAAAATACTAATAATCATTCAGTTAAGATGCGAAAACAGAAAAAATGGGCAGGTAGTGCAAACTAACTACTTCCTACTGGGTGTTAAATGTTTGCAGAATTTCTCAAAATGGCGGCTTTTCAACAATATTAAAAGTTAGTATCTATTTAACAAATGGAAATTACTACACTCATGTTATTTTATTTTGCTATTAATTGATTTGCATAATAGTTAATGTCTGTAGTGTAGATTTCCTCACAAAAACTTAAATAGATACGATTCGTAAACATTACAGCCGACTCATCTTTGTTTAGTAAGGCAACAGTTTTAGAGACTTTACTTCCAGTTTTTATCAAAACTCATCAGCACAATCAGCAAAGTTTGGATTTTTTCTATTAAAGTCAAAGCTAAACCAGTCTCACCGCTCAGTTGCCCTCGGAAAGCTGGGTGGGTGGCAACTTTGAGGCCGGGGTGGGGCAACAAGAAGCAGGAGATCTTGGTGAAACATGAGTGAATGTGTTCCCTCACAGTCTGCAGCTCCTCATGTTGAGCCTCCTTAACCTGAACATATAAACATGGCATTCTAGAAATGTTGCAGCACTTTTAAAATCATTTTAAAAACTTTTAAACTGGTACCTGCAGCCGTTTTTCCAGAAACTCGTTGCCACCTTTGAAGCCGTACTTGTATTCGTAGGGGAAACTCCAGTCTCTGACCAGAAACATCAACGACTGCGGGATGAAAAGAACAGTGTTGCAATAAAAAACATGTCTATATTTAACAACAATAACCACACTAGCATTAGTTCGTATGTTGGATAATGTGATTCATGTCACCTGAAACGGCTTCTGGAAGATTTCATCCATGGCCAGACGGCCATATTCTGTGAACAGCTGAGAGGAGAAAACACCAAAATTACACAAAATGTCACAATTAGCTTCGGTAATGTGCTCCGATACGGCCAATAAATAGCACTCCAATATAAAAATCTGTTTGTAAGCTATAAGAAAACCCAAAAACGGTATTATGTGAAAATTCTGGGGTTTCTTTAGCTAAAAGCCACAATCTTCAGAAACACTGACATGGATCAATGTTTACTGTTTATAATGGGCTTCATTTTTTAAATTGAATCATTGAAATAAATTAACTCTATTGACGATATTCTAAATTACTGGCGAGAAAAGCTGACTGAACTTTGGTTCCAGCAGCTGAAACCAAACTGAACTCTCTGGTTTTTGGAGCCTCTGTCACTTTAAGTCCAAATAAGCTGCTGCTGGCCACGCCCCCCAACTCAACGCTTAAACTCACATGTGAAAGTGGCAGCAAACAGTAGCGCAATTATTCAACTACACGTCTTTGAAAGGCAGAAGTGGCACCTCCTGCGCAGTGGCACCTCCTGCGCAACAAAAATGCACCAACTGGTTTATGGATGGTAAGTCAACAACAAAGCTCTTGACTTTTCCAGCAGCCATTGTACAGTGCAGACAGAGGTAAAATCAGCAGACAAAATATGCTGGAACTTTGTTTGGGTTGCAAGGTAACGGGCTGAGCTCGGCTGGAGTTGCCAGGTAACGGTGCAGTCCCCATGGATTGTGACTTAATCAGGAAAATCATCACACTGCTATTATTTTATTACAGCAGTCCTACAACAATAAGATCCAGGTGGGAATAAACACCTGGAAAAATAGTAAAATTAGGTTGGGACTGTAAGACAAGCTGTTCTTTCTGAAAAGCTTTTATGAAACTGACTCATCTCTTAAGTTAAGAAAAATAACACAAACCCAGACTGACCTGTAGCTGCTGCAGGTCGTCCTCCTGGATGTTCTGTGAGAGATTGTAGATCTACCAAACCAAAATTCATGTCAGAAAACTCAACAGTGACAAACTAATCAGTAATGATCAGAGTCAGATGTTTACCTGGACTGAGCTGGTCATGGTGCTGAGAGCAAAGATGGTGGCACAGTCCTTCACTGTGGACTGGTCATCAAACGCTCCCTGAGTGTCCATCAACACCACGGCCACCTACAGGAGAGAGACGGAACAGCAGCAGGCGTTATTTTCTGTAATAACTGACTTTTTGTTGATGTTTTATTTACTTTTAGAGTTAAGAAATAAACTTCACTTATTTAATAATATTTATTTACTGTGAAAAAGTGGAGACAAGAAGCCATGCGCTGTTGTTTTGAGGCTGCTGATTGGATTGCTCTTTGCCAGCCACATGGAGAATGACATCATGACTGAGTGTGTGACCAACTATAAAAACGTCTGCGTGGACAACACTTGCCTCATTTGAAGAACGTTGAATTAATATGCGTCACAGCAACACTTAGTTTCCCTTTGAAAAGTATTTTTGAATTGAATTCAAATTTAATGTCAATTTAGATTAATATAATTTAGTTTGTTTACTGCAAAAAATAAACACAAAGATGTAAAAAGCAAACAAAATACAGCCTGCAGAAACCAGATAAAGGCACACAGATGTACAGACTCATCCAGGAATGACCTGGTTTCTCAACTTTTCTGCTACTAAAAGGAAATATTTTCCTCAGCATGTTTCCAACAGAACATGTGTTCATTTCTAATTAAGTGGATTTGAAATCTGTAAATAATTAATACAAGTTAATAATTAACTGGATGAAATATATAAAAGAAGCACAAACTTTAGAAACATTCCTGTAAAGTTGCTATATAAACTTTCCTTACTTGTTACTGAAATAAATTCACTTTCATAGATATTCTTATTTAATAAAATGTACCTGTACTAAAGTACAACAGAGAACAATCCTGAGATAAAGTTTCTATCCATTTTAACTATTATTTTTTCTAAAAAGAAAAATGTTGCAATGTTGTTTTTTTTAATTCTCTCTATTTGCTCATTTTAATGTGTGCTATAATCTAAAAATCTAACTTTAAGTGACTGTTACAGAGATGAGAAATGCATTGATATCTCTAGATGACTTCAGTACCTCCGTCCCGTCGCTCTTCTGAACTGTAAAAACTTTGCTCCACAGCTGGATGCCTGTCGTCTCTGGTTCCGACCCGCCTCTCCAAGAAAACCCAGTCAGCTCCTCGTCGTCCCGACCCAGCCAGTTATCGTCACTCTGCAGACAGACAAGTTAAACCGTAAATACCAAACATACAACAGACCTTCAGATAAAACTTTAGAGCAGAAACAGCTTCCCTCAGGGTTTGTATTTTGGGTTTTTTTCCTACCATTTGCCAGCAGCTCCCACTATCAATACAGCCTGCGCTATAAATAGACATCTCCAGTGTTTTATAACAAACAAAGTGGAGAGCAGAGCTCTCAGGTTCTGATTAGCTCCGCACTTAACAGCTTGTTTTACTGTCCACTTGAAGCTACAGTTTAAAATTTAAAATGGTGCAACAGGAAACATTTTAATGGAAGAGAGAAAAAAAAGTTAAAAAAATCAATAGCACTTATCAATCGCAATCTCAAAGAGTTATGCTTATTGGATGCATATGAACAAACGGGAACTAATACATGCTGATTACACTTCCTGTGAAACTTTGCAACAAAAATCTAAATTATTATTCATCAGCAAACAGGTTTGGTCACAAACTGGGCGTTTCACATAACATACATGTTTTCATGCGGCGCTAACGCAGATTCTGGAGAAACCAGTCGGAGACAAAACTGAAAAGTTTTGTCATTCATGGCCTGACCTGTCACATTAAACTGTCCCGGAAGTCATCATGAAAAATAGCAAAATTATTGTTTTAGGTCAATTTTCAGGTAATATAATGGTGACGTAGTAATAATGGAAGTCAAACTTTAATTTTTGACAAGCACTTTATTCTGGAAGTGGAAGACATTTTAAATATCGAAAATAAACAAAACAACCGAAACAACTAATGAAATGAAGAGAGGTCAGTGATGTGGACGTAAAGTTTTATCACAATGTATAGAACGATATAAGAATTATTTTTTACTTTTTTAGGTAACTGTGTGGCAGCGGCCGTGTCACAGCTATTACAGCCCCACAAAAACAAATTCTGCTCTTGAAAAACGTTCCCACTTACTTCTTTAGGAGAGCAGTCAAATAAAGGAGTGCTTCATCAGATATTGAGATTTATTTATATTTACTGAAACACTCATTGAATGAACAGTGCAGAAAATAGTAAAACTAACAGTTTTTTAAAACCCTAACTAAAATTTATTGTGACAATAAGTCATAATTCCTATGATAATTTAATTTAAAAAAACGATACATTAAATGTCTGTAAACTAAATTGTCCTTAAAAAAAAACAGGCAAGTTCAGAGCAAAGCACCAGATTCAAGACTTTTGCCATCCGGTTGCCAACCAATTATAAAAAATGGATATTATCGAGTTTGTTTTAATTTATTATGAGATTAACTGATTTACTGCGACAGGAGTCGTCATGGAACAGGCTCACCTTTCTGTGCATGTAGCGAAGCATGAAGTCCAGTAAGAAGCTTTTCCCCTTCCTGAAGGCGCCGGCCACCGACAGAACCACCACATGTTTGTCTCGGACCTCTGGATCCAGCAGAACCTGAGCTAATGCCTCGGTGTTCAACGTGAAGGAGTGATCGTCCTTATTTACGTCCACAATCTGAATCGGTCGCCCATCACTCCCCATTCTGCAAACAAACAAACACAACAACATTATCGTCAAATTAAAGCTTTACGAAGCTCTACATGCAAACATTAAATAAGCTTAAAATTTTACTCACATTTGGCATCAACTTCCTTTAAATATTTTCCTAATATTTAAGGTTTCATTTAATAAAATTCTTGCCAATAAACATTAGGGCTGGCTGACTTATTGATTAATAAAGTTATTGAAGACGTAATGTTTTTGAAAATCTGCATTTTTCTTTTCCGATGCACTCCTTGGGTTTTCATTGTTCAGACTGGGGCTGCAGCAAACAATTATTTTAGTTGATTGCAATTATTGATTAGTCTATTGATTATTTGACAACGGGTTAGAAAATGGGCACATTGTACAGATTTTTTTTTATTATTATATAATAAAAGATTCATTTTACAGCCCAACATGCAGCACCACAGCATTCTCTTAGTAAATATGTGCCAGATGAAGCTAAAATTATGCAACTTGTTGAGTTTTAGGTAAAAACATATTTACAGACAAAAGTGTTTTCATCTTAAATGCAAACTTATATATTGTTGTACAGTTTTTATGCAATTACTGTTCTGAATGTGATCTGTTTGTTTCACCACTTTAGTCAACAATTAATGGATTACTAAATTAATCGATGGTTATTTCAATTAATCAATTAATCAATTAATTGTGATTAATCCGATTAATCTTTTCAGCCCTAATTTAAAGTGATCTGAGCATGCTCAGCGCCGCCATCTTGTTTGACAAGTGTATTTAAAATAAATATTTACTCTTTGAATGCTGGTCAACACTATTACCCAATTTAAAGGACAAAATTTACCTTTTTAAATGAGAATAAAGTCAGAATATTTCAAGAATACAAGCATACAGTTTAATATTGCCAGAAAAAAATTGCAATATTAGGAGAGTGAAGTAGTAATTTTATGGTAACTTCTGCACACACGCAAAAAAATTATCAGTAGCAGGACTTTGAAATGATTGAGCAAATGACTGAATCTATTTTAAAGAAAAAAACTACACAGATCCTGATAACTCTATACAAGCTTTTCATATCATTAAAACTTTTTTTTCTTGTAATTTTTTGCATTTATATTCTGCTAAACCTCAACTATCCTCTCATAGCTGAATAATTACAAAGGAAATTTGCAGCCAGGCCTTAATACACAATCATAAAACTCACAGAAGATCTGACAAAAGCCACTTTTTAAAATATGTTTTGTCATTTGTAATTTCTTTTTCAGAAAGACAACAACTTGATAATTGAACAAAATAAAAGTGATGTATGTATATAAAACTGGTCCCAAAAAGCACCAGAATACTGTACAAAAAATGTACATAATTTATTTCTGCCTCATTTTCTTGGCTTTCATAGTTTTTTTTACAAACTTCCTGGAATTTTCATTAGATCTCTTTGTGAGAAAATGTTCAGTATGGATGTAATTGTAATGCTTTTAACAAGCAGGTTACATGGTTATAACATTATCCTCCATGGTGCATCAAATCATATGTTTTTTTATTAAAATTTGGTGAATCAGTGAAAAATTGATCTAAATTTGATGTCTGGATAAATAATCTGCAATCCCTCATATCATTTTTAATTGTAAGCATTTATTTCAGAAATAAACTTTGATGATAGTTGATTTTGAATCAAACTGAATCATTTCCAGTCAGCACATCTGGCAGATGAGATAATTTATTGCAAATGAAACCCAACAAAGCGCATTTTTCTGTCCAGATCGAAACATGTTTCAACATTTTCTGCTCAGAGCTCTCCTCCAATCACCCTGCGTGCATTAAAATACTATTCATGCAAGTCAACCAATACAAAGTTTATCTCTGTGTGGATGTGGCTGCAGGCTGTTCATATTGGTGTCATGCTGTTCTGCCTGCAGCTTATGGATTTAGCATGCCCTCCAATAATCTTGTCATGTTTCTTCCTGCATCAAAGGAGCGCTTTGTTATGAGACTTCATGTGAAAACAGTCTCCATGGCGTCCATTAAGGCAAGAAGGTGAGACGATGTGTCATCTACATGAGGAGCTCACTCCCTACTTTTAAGCACCTTGAGGGTGTGGCGTTGATGAGCAGCCTGCCAGCCATTTCCTTGCAGTGAACGTCCAGAACAGACTGGATGCAAGAAATTTCCACAATCAGAAATTATTACCGCGTTTGCGCAACATCAACAGCTAGCAGAGAGAGTTTGGCGCAGTAAAGTGGAGCTGAAATCCACTTTTAACGCGAACATCTTCGAGTTCGCGAAGCTAACACAGCGAGAGTTCAGCCAAAAACAAAGAACGAGCTGTTAAATGAGCGCAGAGTTAGAAAAAAATCCACGAACAATGTTGTGTTCAAAGGAACATAAGTGAAAAAGTAACCTACGTGTTTGTTTTAGCTGAAGTTTCACGGTGTCGTGTTGTCTATGGATTCTTCCAGAAGCGTCTCCAGACACTCAGGAGAGACGAGAAACGAACAACTTTTCACACTGACACGAAAACAGTCATGAGAACTTTTTTCCACAACTAGTCTGCCCACTTCCGGCTTCAGTCCGCGAAACGTCACATGGGAAATGTAGTTTTTTGAATGACCTCCTTTCCCCGTTCGAGTTCTGGTGAAAACTACAAGCCCCTTCTAGTGAAACTCACCGACAGGAAATGGGAAATGTAGTTTTTATTCAGTGAGGGCGATGTTTACGCAACCTTCGTGCAGGTAATGTAAAGTAGGAGCGGATATTTTGCGTTTATCCAAATCACATCCCGAAAGGTTTCCACAACGGTGACAGACCCGGTATCCTAGCAACCGGAATTCGGCTGAAGAGAAAACAGTCACGCAGTTGTGACGTAGCTGCAGCGTCCCTGCTGTTCATTTAACCAAGGTAGGAGTGACGTCATTCACCACAACACATCATAAATCTTCATTTTTTCCTCGCTTGTTTTAACTAATCCAAAAAATATTTTTCTTCTAAATATATATTAAATTATGAATAAAATCTCTTTGTTCATTGTTTAACAAAACGCAAAAGCTAAAATTTTCCATTAGAGAACATATAACTTAAAACAGAAATAAAAAATTAAAACTTAAGTGAATTAAAATAGTTTGAATAGATGCCAAATTGAATAGAAAATAAAGAGAATATTTGAAATGGAATACAACTAAAATGTTGATTGCCTTTATTTTTACTAAAATACTTTCAGGAATAGTTTTTGAAAAAGGTACAGTACTTTTAAAACAGAGAGTTGTAGAAGGTGAAATCACACATGAATTCAACTCTTTTTTTTATTTTGTCAATTTGGTGGTTTTGTACAAGCTAATTAAGCTGTAATTAATTTCTAGGAAAATATTGAAATTATAAAAAAAGAGAAGACAAAAATATTATCTTGACCAAACAAAATTAAGATTTTATTTCACAGAACAGAAAATGAGAAACACTGAATTTACAAACAAAAATTTTTTCTAGGCCAACTTATTATTTTTAAACTAAATGGCAGTAGTTGTATTAACTTACAAAGAAACTATTGCTATTTTAAGACAGTTTAGCTTAAAAGTCTTAAAATTATTAAGAAGAAAGGAAGTCTGGGATTTAAAAACATACATGACATCAAAAACATTAAACTATCTCAAACAAACAGGATCAGATAAAGAAAAAGAGATTATTTGTATAAATATTACTACCAACTTTACTGTTATTCCTCTAATGCTTCTCCATACTTCCTCGGTACATTTATGATTAATAAGTACATAATAAATTAAATATACCTTATTGCCAAAATACTTTTAGAAACCTTTTTTCAGAAAAAGGAACAGAAAACTATAAATTTATTACAACTGTGTATTAAAAAATTACATTTTTCAACTAAGTGTTCGAGTCTTGATGTGGTTTTATTTGTTAAATGTCATGGTTGACTATAAGAAACTTTAACCAAGACGTAATAGTAACAATACATCGTCTTGGTTTGGAAGCGCTCTTTCCACCCCTGAGGTTGATGAGCTCGAAATAGGGGCGCACCAAAGAACTAGATTTCTTTCATTTCGCCCAATACTTGCTACCAACAATATTCAGACAAACAAAACTTGGTATGAGCAGGACAGCCTTTTTAAACATCGTGATCGGCAAGAAAAATGCAATCGGTGCACCCCTAGTTCGAACTGTTAGAAACATTACAGCAAACACTGTAAAACTGAACTTTTAACACTTGTAGTTTTAAAAATATTAGTTCTGATCTGTTTCTATCAAGTTGGGCGTCCAAAGTGCCTGAATACAGGAGGATTTTTACTTTATTCCTTTCCATTTTAATATCTCATAATATAATAAAGTCTAAGGGGAAACACGTGTTAATGACTGAAACATCTGGGTTAATCGAGCTAATATACGCCACCTGCCAGGTCCAACAGGGACCCGGCTGCTTCCTGGGCCTCCACATCCAGCTGCAGGATCTCCACAGTCTCCAGGTCCAGTTCAGACTCGCTGGGCAGCACCAGGTACTGGCACTGGTCGGACTCGTAGTAATGCAGCTCGATGTAGCCGCTGTCGGCCAGCGGGTCCTTTTCGGTGTCTTCGCTGACTTCATGTGGCTGGTATACGTGCGGCTCCATGGTGACCAGCTCCTCGTGATCCGGGGTCAAAGGGCACGGGAGGTCTTCGGAGAAAGGCGTGTGCATTTGGGGAGAGGAACTCGAAAGGAGCAGGGCCTGAGAAAGAGAGTCTGCGGGAGGTGAAGAAGAACATAAGAGATTAATCACTAAAAGCGTAACAACAATAATCTATTTAAGAGTCAGGATGTTTAACAAAGCAGTAATTAAACACTTAAAGCAAATTTAGGCGTAAAACAAAGCGGCCTAATGACGAAGCCCGTTGCTAAGGCGAAGAAAGGCGGTTGTCACAGAGACAGAAAACAAACACGGGAACAATGGCGCCCGCTGGACAAAAATGTCACAGAAAGCTGCTTCTTCCCTGACGGAAAGGCACACAAACGGGTCGGTCCGTGTCTTTTCTTAGAAACGTGACGCTGGTGTCGGTACCGACCTGAGATCTCCACCGTGTCGCACACAGCAGGCACCTCGTAGCTGGTTCCATCTAACCTGCAAACGAAGACAAAAAACTGTGAAAACAGACAGCTGGTTGGAGTGAAATTACTCAGAAAGTCCTCAGATTGTACCTGGAGGGAGTCATGATAGGGAACCAAACAGCTCATGTTTCTAAAAATACTTTTGAAAACTTGTTCAACAATTATTGAACAAGTTAATGTTTTCCACTGATAAAAATCTGACAAGTTTACCACTTTACTCTGAAACCACTACATAAAATAGAGTAACAAACTGCCCTCTTGTGGTTTTCTTTGTTGTTACTCTTCTTATCACCTGAAATCTGATGGACTCAGACAATAAACCTTCAGACACGTAAAGCTACAAAGTCGGTCTTCTGTCACCTGAAGCATATTTCCAGGATCAAAGAATTACTGACCAAACAAGACCAAGAGCAACTCATGCATGTATTTCTTTTTATTCAAATTCAAAAATAATTAAATGATCCCAAAGGAAAATAAAATGTTGTGACTCCAAATTAATTCAGATTATTCAGAGTTATTGTCGATAGTGATGGCTGTTGGCAGGGAAAACCTCCTGTAGCAGTCTGTATTACATCCAATTTGAAGAAACTTCTGACTGAAGTTAGACTGAGAGTCCCTTTCTGAGGTTAAACAAATTAGAAGAATAATATAATGTAGTAATATAATGAATAAATAATCATTCGACATTTACAGTAGGGCTGCAACTAACAATTATTTTAGTAATCAATTTTTCTCTCAATTCTTCTGACGATTAATCAGATAAAAACTTTGGCGCAGTCTGCACATTTTTAATTTAGCCACTAAAATATTTTTATACAATGTTCGAAATACATTAATAAATGCAAATAAACTAATAATTCCTTAAATATTATTGTCTAAAATGTAATAACAGCATTACTGTTGATCATTTGTAATTTATTGTTTGGATGCATTTGCAGCTAAAGAAATTCTCCTAACATCCGTAGGTGAAAAGTTCAGTCCGTTCTGCTTGTCTTAACGTCACTGCAGTTTAAGAATAATCTGTCATTTTTTTTATTTGGTTAAACGGTTAATAATTGGAAAGAAAAGGTCCTTCATATTATGAGATATTTTTTAGTTTTACAGAATTTGAACGAGCTGAACATTCTGGATAGAACATATTTACAAAGTTTTTTTTCATATTAAATGCAAAATTTACATATATATATATTTCTAATCAGTTGTTCTTTCAGCAAATCACCTCTCTTTTGAGCCTTTGTACTCCAGTCAATGATCAATAAGATGAAATTAGTTGATTATTTCAGTAATAGATTTATCATTAATCTGATAAATCTAAATTGTTTCAGCCCTAAATTACTCATGTTTTGATTGAACTCACAGTGTCGGCTTGTTGATCAGACAGCTGCTGGTGCCGTGATAGCTGTGGGTCTTCCTCAGACCCTCCAGCAGCGCCGGCCGATACTCTGGACACACACACCACAGCGACCCCTTTCCCACCGACTGCAGCAAAACACACACATAGACTTTCATTACATATTTTGCTGGATGATACATTTTTCCAGTGATTATTGCGATAAACAATAATATTGATGGTTTGAGACTATTTTCAAGTATTACTTATGGCTGGGCAATATGGCAGAAAAACACATGACAAAACCGTGTCACATCAGTCGGTATTGATAACTGTTAACTGTTAGTTATTGATTAGTTTTTTATTTCAAATATCTGAAATACATATGACCTTTCCTGTTTACCCCCAGTTTTCACTTCACGTCATTGTTTATTTATTTTTAAGCAGTTATGAGCCACAATGGCAGAACCTGGAACTGCTGCTGCGCAAGTTACTGGTTGTTGCTAGGTAACCAAAGAGCGAGTGAGTTGCTAGGTAACCAAAGAGCGAGTGATTTAGTTGATTCCGCCAACCTTACTTAGCTAGATGTTGGAGGTTGAGCAGCTAAAGCCTTTCCTCTGTCTGCATCCCCCAGAATGCTGTGCGGTTCAGTGAATGTGTTGAATACTGGATATTCTATCAGGTGTAACTATTGATATTGATCATATGTCTATCCCGTGTTTTATGGCATAAAAATGTTGTTACCCTCTCAAAAAGCAATAAACTTTAATTTAGTAGAGAACACTAAACACTGGAACTGGAGGATATTTAAAATGAAAAGAGTCAGAAAATACAACTGAAACTATAAATACAATGATTATGATGTCTCTGTAAACTAAATTGCTCTTAGGCATGTCACGATAACACATTTTGCTGGATGGTAAATTGTCCGATGAAATCCGATAATATTGTTGTCTTGAGACCATTTTAAAGTAACAAATGATTATTACATAATAATGCAAGTTCAATCTCTCAAAGATCAATAAGCTTTAATTTCAATGAAAATGTTAACATTGGAACTGGAAGACATTTTAAATATTCCAAATAAGCAAACAAAACAACAAATAAAATTAATCATGTAGTCTCTGTACAAACTTTTCCTTCATAAAAATGGTCTAGTTGAGACAAATCCATCAGACTGAAGACTTTTGTCATACAGTTTTTAGTAGAAAGAGAGAAAGACTAATTAAAATAGTTTCATACTTCATTGATTTACAGCTTTTTGCAACAGGCTTACTTTTATATAATATAAATTTTTGGATTCAGTCAAATAATTTTAGCTGACTTGTGAAAATTGTGCACGCACCTGGCTCTTGTCCCTCTGAATGCGACGGAAGCTCTTGCTCAGCGACAGGTTGTGTCTCACCGAATTCCTCCAGCCGCCGCTGGCCGTCCTGTAGTACGGAAAGTTGCTCACGATCCACCCGTAGATTTCCTTCACCGGGAGCCTCTTCTGAGGAGAATCTTCTATCGCCATGAAGATGAGACTGCTGAAGGAGTACGGTGGCTTGGAGGAGGCCGCCGCAGGAGGAGAAAGCTGCCCGGGCTGTCGCTGAGGTAATGGGGTCACTTTGGTCAGAGGCTGCAGAGGCAGCAGGTCGCCCCTCTGGTGCAGCCAGCTCAGACAGGTCAGGTCATCCTGGTCGGACGTGTCCCCCTGTCCCAGGTCGTGTCCTTCGAGGCATTGAGAGGCGATAAGGTCTGAAACAGGAGAGGACGAACGAACGGACTCTGCTGCAGACGGAGACAGAGAGGTGGGGGAGGGAGGGAACGAGACGGGTGACAGAGGGAGAGACGGGGGTGAGGAGGTCAAGGTCAGAGAGCCTCCGAGAGCAGCGGGAGACGAAGAGAAAGGTGGCAGCGTGTGAGAGCCATTCTTCATTTCTGTCAGATCCAGACTCATTCAGCTGCTTTGCTGCAAAAGACAGAAATTCAGAAATACTTTACTGATCCAACATGTTGCTGAAGCTAGTTTTAATTCAAAATTATTACAAATAAATGTTGGAGATGGTGATGGTAATGGGCAGGAAAGATCTCCTGAGCAGTCTGTATTGCAGCAAATTTGAAGAAGCCTCTGACTAAAGATGCTCTGTTTTTCTAAAGCAATATCATAAAATTACTCTTTTACCATATTTGGCTTAAGCAAATATGGTAAAAGAAAAATCAACTAACAATGGAATAGAAGTGAAAAGAAAAGCCATTTATTAATCCCACTGTGCAGAAATTCACTTGTTACTGCAGCAAAGTAACAAAATATTGCCCATTAAAACATATAAAAACAATATAAACAACTGTGTACTACTAAAATAAAATTAAATAGAAACGTGAAAATATGGGAGATTTATAAATACAGAATATGTTTTTTGTATGTTCATTGTGCAGCTTTACCAAGCTCTCCTGCAGTAAACAGCATGTGATTTATTTTAAAAGTCCCAAACGCTGTAAGTCTTATGTACAAAAGAAATTAGATTTATGTGTCGACTTCTATGTTTTTATTAAACTGTATTACATCTATAAATAGAGCAGTGGTGACCCAAAGGGGGGGAATGGGGTGCCATAGTGCCCTCTTAAAAATGCTGAGAATCATCTTCATGTCATAGAAATGAATAAAGAGTCATTTTCTTCAATGAAGAACTAAATGTAAAAACAATACATAAATATAATTTTTTTTGCTGTGTTTCCCTAATTTTATTACTGGCCTGAAACAGTAAAAACAACAAACAATACCAAATAATAAAAAAACCTCTGTGTATTTTATTAGAATTGTATATGATGAACGCAAAACATGACTGTGAGATTCATTTAATTTTACAAAAAAATGTTGAAAAGTGTGTTGTGTGTGTTTGTTTTTAGCTCCCTCTCTGACATCTGTAATTGATGACTTAGCGGAAACCATATGCAGTTTTCCAAGGGATTTGTAAGATGTGCCAGAGCATATTTCACCTTTTTCACTGTGAAACATGGTAGTGGCAGCATCATGCTTTGACGATGCATTTGTTCTGAAAACACAAGTAGGCTGGTCAGGTCATTTTCTATTATCTAGGTGTGTAAAGCATGGGGGTTTTTAGATTTCTAATTGTAAAATGTATTAAATATATACTTATGCAGTACTTTGTGTTATTTAGCACCTGAAATCCTCAGTAGTTTACATCTTTAAGAATCTGATCCCAGGTTAGATCAGTAACATGATGGCCAGCCGTTCCCCTCTGATGAGCATCATTTCTTTGTCCAAAGTCCAGACTCGCGTTCCCATCATCTTAAACCTTGAGCTTTAAAGATGATGCGAAAATAAACTCATGTCCTTCAGCTTCACCAGGACCATCATAAGCTGCATTTATGACGCTCTAAAACTTTGTATGAAGCCACATGGCTCTATTGTGGTGCAGGAGGCAAATGGCGGAACAATATAAAGTTTCATTTAGCTATACAAGAAAGAAAGCCGCCTTTCTCCTCACAGGTAACCCCCTACCCCCTGTCGGCGCTTTTCGCTCGTTAAAAACCCAAAAAATTATATTTTTTTAACTCACCAGATACCAACAAAGATCAGTCAACCGGAGCTCGACTCTCATCCGAAGTCCAGCAGGGTTCGGGAGGGATATTTAGGGCGAAACCCGGACGGGTCAAAACGTGAAGAGTCGCAGCCGGACACCTCTTCCTCCTGCCCTGTTGATATCTGCCGTCACCCTGGAAACCGCAGAGGACGCGCTGCGTGCTGCGCGCTCCCGTGCGCAGCCCCGAGAATTATCACGCTGCTGCAGCCGCAGTTATAAATATGCGTGTAAATAACTTTAAATGTGGCTTCGAAGAATCATCATAAAACACCAACAAGAAAATACATTTTTTTCTGTAAAATGCCGGATTTAAATGGATTTGTTTTCATTAAATCTAAAAGTAAAAGTAATCTTTTAATTTAAAAATACCTTATTAACCCCGGAGATAAATTAAATTTTGTAACTTACATTATTACATTTAATTTTCTGGAAGGAAAGAAAAAAGATAAAAGAAGGCGATGTCAATGCAGGCAGCAGCAGAAAGGATTTCCTGTAGCAGTCAGTGTTACAGCTCAAAGCAGAAGGAAAGCTGGACTCAGTTTATTTTCAATTTATTAATTTCCCTTTTTAGTGTTTTTAGTTTTCAGATGAGTAGAGAACAAATTCCAGGTAGTCCATTTACCTTCCCTTAATTTGGATTGTCACTTCCTGTGAGCACTATAAAATCAAACTTGATTTTATTACATCTTAACAGGAGAAATCTTACCACAAAGACAAAACAACTTGATACACAAAGCCATATATTTGTTTATTTTTTCATCACACAAAATCCAAACTTTATGATGCTTTGTCAAATGTAGATAAATGAAAAAACAGGAGCTGGGCATACCGTTTGGTTTAAACACTGAGAAACATGTCCAGAGACATTATATGAAAGCTAATCTGCACAGAATCAGATCTGATGTTAAAACCTTGGAGCCCATTTAGTTAGGTGTTTAAAAGAAAACAATAATTTACCAGGGTTACTTTACAACCACGCAGCAGACAGAGGTGCTTCGTTTCACACGTTCTGCTTGTTTCCATGAAGCGGAAAAGCTTCGTAAACACGCTGCAGCTCAACACCAAACAAATGTTCTCCGTTTAACAACAAAAACAGTAAGAGGGCGAGAGCGCAAACAGTCAATAACCTTCTAACCTCCCGGTCACCTCACTAAGTGAGACGTTAACCAGTAGATAATGATTGGCTGGAAGACGGCGGTTGCCACTGTGATGTAGAGGCGGAGCTGAGGCTTGGAGTTTGATCCCATTCCCATCGAATCCGAGGACATGGAGGGCAGGATCTTCATTTTCAGAGATCGAACCTGCGGGGTTTTTAATTAATTAATCACATTTTAATCAAAAACTTTTAGTAAGTAGCACTTTTAATCCAAAAACACTTTTTTCTGCTTCATTATTGAATAAGTAAATAGACATATAAACTAAACAACAAATACATCTATTGTATTTGATCTGTTATTTAACCGTCAGATTGGTGCAAAGTTTTATCATATCCAGAGTTCAGTAGCTATACCTGAAGAACTTTTCTTTGGGGGAAAAAATTACTTTTAGGAGTATTTTTACTACAATGTACTTTTTAATTTCACTTGAGTAGTTTTATTATGAAGTATTGCTACTCTTACTTGAGTAAAATTTCTGGATTTACTCAATAATAACCCAGAGTTGTATTTGGACATAAGATTCCTTAAGACTTTTGCCCAGATTCTTACAAATTAAAGCAGAGATTAGATTAGAAACTGAAGCTCTTTGATATTTTACAGTGCATTAAACAGCTTGGCTTGATCTCAACAAGTGTTCAGTTTTGACATTATCCCTTCAAAGCAGGTTTAATCAATATACAAATGCAGTACCTGAAGCTGCCAGAAGTAGGACACAAATTTCCTATTCATGTAAAATATAAAACATTAAAAGTGGAGCTGGGGGAAAGTAGAGAACTGCTGACAACCTTTAGGGAAGAGATGCACCGAATTTGTCCAGAGGTCAGTGGATTTATCCAAAGTGCAATTAAGCACATTAAAATGCCATGTATGTGCTTTTGTAAACAAAAACAAAAAAACTTGAACCTAAAGCAAATTATTTACTCTTAAGGACAAACTGGAGCTTTGCTCTTCATGTTGTCGTTCTGTTACAAAAGTCTATATATTCCTGTATTTCTTGCTGCCATTTACAGTAATTTTGTGATAATCTAACAAAAAATAAGCAGTGCAGATTCCTTTAAAATTATGCGATCAGTTGAAAGTGACAGAGCATGACCGGGGTTGAAAGCATCATTTTACAGGAACAGTGACTGTATTTGTACACTGCATTTTAGATTGAAATCATGAAGAATTAAAGAATAGAGCTTTGCGGTACTCCATACGTCACCATTTATAAATCACAAAATGTAACCTGAGTCTGTTAAAAAAAAAATAAATCTAAAGCCGCTCAGAGTAATTCTAGAAAATCACAATCACTTTTCCAACCAAAAATGATGAATTTTTATTACTTTTTCCTATTATTTTAGTTGCTTTCTGACATCAATGCAAGAAAGTGAAGGAAAGCAGCTTTATAGTAATATATTATTACTAACCTTACTAACCCTAACCCTAATTATAGTATATATTAAAATGCAAGATAAGAGTTTAGCAAAATCATGTTGAGGAATTGGTCGACACCAATGATTGAAGAGTAACTAAACCACAAATCAACTTTTTATTTCAGATAAACTGTCCATATTGGCCGTTAAAGGAATCTGTCTTTATGAAAACTGTCTTGATTTTGCCCTGGTTAGGCTGAGGGTCGGCTCCTACAGTTAAATTTTCCAATTAATTACAACATTTCAACTTGTCAAGTCTCACTTGGCCACGCCCCTCTGCGTCTCTTGGCTCCGCCCACTTTGGTGCCATTTTTCTGTTATTGCCTGGTTGTTCTGTGTTATTATGTAATAACACTGCAGCAAACAACCATAGAGACTAAAGCACTAACTATAACTTGTTTTAATTTTCTATACACTTAAAATGATAGAATAAAGTTTCTATTAAGGCCATATTCAGTGTGTTAGGTGAAAATGCAGGTATTCATACTTACAATGAAGAACATCAGGGCACAAGACGACCAGGCAAGAGCAACATAATACCCATCGCTGCCGAACATTAAGCCGCACAGCACTGTGAAGATCATTCTGGGTGAAATACAAACACACAAAGACAAATTAATTAACTAGATATTTTAGGACACGTTTCATTCATTTAGCAAAGGAAATAATAATAATAGAACCAGGGCTGAAACTAACGATTATTTTAGTTAGCAATTATTCTGATAATTAATCAATTAATCCGATTTTTTAAAATGGTATGCTCTGGAAATTTTCATTAAGTCTCTTTTATGCAATATTAGAAACAAACTAAAATGCAAACGATGTATTCAACTTCTTTTTAAAATAAGAAAATAAATATTTTATTCAGTATAGTGGCTTTCCTTTAACTCAGGCTTTTATGTTTCACTTAACATCATTTTTTTTAGTTAACTGATTTTGGATATCAAAAAGTTTTTGCTGTTTTTTTTTTGTATTACAGAGGCTAAAATTTTGCCACTTGAGAAAATATTTACAAAAACTTTTTGTCTTTCTCAAAATCCAAAAACATGTTTTTGAGTGGGTTGTTCTTTCATCAAATCGCAGTGAACAATCCATTAATTGATTGCTGAATTAGTTGACGATTATTTCAATAATCGTGATTAATGGTTTCAGATGTGACTATAAAGGAGGTTATAATAGCGTTTTGATGGACACCTGATTTAATAAATTTAAAATATGAGCATTAAAATGTGTATTTACCCAACATATTTGTATCCACTGTAGGCGATGAGGTCAAAGGTTGAAAGGTCGCTGTGTACGGTCAGCAGATACAAACTCAGCAACATGACTAGAACCTCGATGATGATCCAAACCAGAGCGGTGCTGGCACACAGTCCCAGAACCTCTGGACTGAACCTGCACACAGTCCACAGTCCTGATTAAGCTTATCTGACACAAAACCAGCATAAAAACAGAGAATAAAGAGAGAAATGTTCACCGTTTTTGAATACCAAGAGCCATTCCAGCCAGTAAAATGTAAGTGATGAAAGCCATGGCTGCGAGAAAGAGGAATAAAAGTTAAATAAAAAAATATTGCAGAATTTTCTGGTCCTGATTGTGTTTGCACACAACTTACTGGGTATGTAAAGGTCAGGCGCATTTACGTCTTGCCTTGGAGTGAGAGGAGTGTCGCGATGGTACCGGACCTCCCAGTCCTACAGGAACAAACACCACAGAAGAAGAAAACTTAATTTAGCGAGACAATGTGAAGAATGAAAGATGATTTTACTTGACAAGAAAACATATTTGAAACCAATTTGAAGATTTCTGCTGAAAAAGGAAAACATTTTGAAGCACATTATTTTTGTAATTATTTATTTTTCTGTAATATTTTATTTATTAATTTAAACTAAATATCGGTTATCTGATATAACAGCCATATTAAAAATCAGTCCAGCCTTTACAGATTGGGGCATTCCTATTCAAAACTGCAATTATAGTGTTTTACACCAATTTATGAGAACTGAGGAGATTATCTCGTCCAAAATCAACATAAAAATGTAAAATATAATCTGTTTGCTGACAACATTTAACCATAATGCTCCTTTCAAGCATCAGTTATTTACAAACTGAACTCAGGAATAATACTCAAACTGCAGCTATACAATAACTATCTGAATGGAAACCAGATAAATACATACAATAAATAAAAATACACACATTGTTTCTCATTGTCTGAAGTTAAATTAGGCCAAACTTTTCTTGTTTCATCTTAGCTAGAATTACCAAAATTATTTCTATTTTGCTAAATGCCAGAAAACTTGGCGGGAATATTTTTGAATAAATTGTTTGTAATTTTCTTCTAATTCTAAAGTTTACAAACATTTACATTTTTCGGTCTTTTAATCTGTTTGGGTCGAACAAAGCGAAAACAGGAAAAGTTTGATCTGACTTAACTTCAGACTGGGAGGAAAGAAAAGTCTTTTTATTCAGTGCATCTAAATATCTGGTTTCAACTGCGTGCCTGTAAAAGTTGCTCCAAGAGTAAAACTTTACTTTTTATAAGAT